AAAAATCATGTTAAAAGTAACATAACTTAACTGTGTGAAGTATATCATAGATGGATAAAATGACTCGTAGGCTATAATAATATAACATTTAGCTCATGTAGTTGGTGACCTAAAGTGGTGGGGGGGCCCTGCAGTAACTCATAGCCCCGGGGCCCAGTGAGCTCTTAATACGGCCCTGGCTATATGCACGCATAAGTTCCGCATTTGACGCAAGGATGCTCGTCCATTTCCGGTTGTGTAGATTAAAGCGGAGGAAAACCGGAGAAAACGGGATTATGGCAGAGTCTTCAATATTTACTGTCCTCCCGTCTTTGAAACGAAACGTACATACGTTTAGATGTAATTTTATATATAGTTATGTTTATTTAATATAATTTTAAAAAGAAGCATAAACACAACGAGGGGTGTCTGTTTTATCTGTTTTTGTGACTAACGTTTCATTAGTATAACCATGGAGTATAAAATTCAATATAAATTCTCAGTATTGCATTGGACTCTATGATCGGCGGAAGTTATCGAGCATCCTTAATCCTTCACCGGAAATAACGCCGTGCATAGAGCCCATTGCAGTCACAGCTTCCCCAAGGAATCAGGCTTGTTGTAGCCTACTGGCTTTAAACTTTCCATAGGTCTTGCCCATTTCACGTATAGGTCTGTACTCTTGTGTCAGCGACTTCAAGATCGGAAACAGACAATAGCCTACATTCTGTGTTTTGTGTTTTGCTGTTGGGCTGTTTGGCACTGAGAACAGAATGAAATGGGACACTTTCTTCGTGTAGTGACGCAGAGGACTGGTTTGTACAGTATAGTGTCAGAGAAATGCAGTGATACGGAATATCTGCGGATCTCATTTCACTTTTTTTTTTTTATTTATTTATTTCATTTTACCTGTTTCTGTATTTTCAATAGGATAACATGTCGAAAGTGTTTGCTCTGGCTCTTGTTGTGGTCAATAATTGCATCTCCATCACAAAAATTATATTTTTAAACGTTTTTTTTTACCTTGAAAAATATTCTCAATGCCTTAAAAATATCTTGGATGTAACGCGACACCCTTTAATCATTTAGTATGGGCAGTACTATGAATATGCAAATGAGCCCCGCCTCCACTCACTCACTCACTCACTCAGCTCAGAGATCCACTGATTGACGATCACACGACACACGTTGATCTGAATGGTTAAAGTTTATGAGGGTTATTTATTGCATGTGTAGAAGTTTCCCTTTCAGACAATATTTATAGGAGGAGAATATTTAAAAGAATCATAAAAGATAGGCTACTATATTTACTAAGATTTGCGCTGGTCAAATCACTGGTGTTTTGCACCATTATACCGCCCAAAAAAAGCATGTGCATGTCCCATTCATTGACAAACATTAATTGCTCTTTAGATATTCAGCTTTCTGTTGATTCTGGAACAGGATATTTTCACTGGAACCATAGAATATGCTTATGCGTAGTACGAATTCGACGAATGATTAAAAAGTGTCTAATTCGTACTAATTCATACGACCTCACTCGTACGAATTCCCACGTGATGGGTAGGTTTAGGGGCGGGGTCAGGGGTAGGTCATTCGTACGAATTCATACGATTTGGCCAATTCGTAAAATATGTACGATTTAGCAAAATCATACTAATTCGTACGACTGAGGTTGTATGAATTGTTACGAATTAGCCATTTTTTAATCATTCGTCGTGAGATCGGGTTGGCTTATATGTAAATATGCATTACTTTCAAAACATAAAAAAATAATAAAATAAAGAACGCCAGTAAAAGCAATCATTTTCCCCTCCGCCATGTTTAAAGCTGATGACCCGCACAACTCAAAATGCACAACTCTTTCCCAGCAAGAAAATACAACTATTTTGTTTTTACTGTATTTTCAATCAAATAAATTCAGCCTTGGTGAACATAAGAGATCAAACTTTGAACAGTGAATGTCCATTTAGGCTAATTGTTATTATTTAAGCTACTTTTGAGCAGATGGAAACTCTCACACAGACAGCAGCACTTTATTACAATGGGCATCTATTATTGTGCATGTAAAAACAAACCTAACTGTGTTTGGTCACTTTACATTGGAGGGTTTTTTGAATACTCTCTTCTCTCTCTCGTATCGTCTCAAGATCTGCAAGGGTGTCAGTGAACTAATATTTATTTAACCATCCCAGTACATCAAAGCAAGATTAACATGTCAGGTTAAGCCTTTTAGACACATTCTTTGTGCAAATCCATTACCCAAACACCCTTCTGCCAATATCTGTGTTCAACAGGAAAACACCTCATTTTTATAGTGGAAAATTAGGTGTTTTCCTGACATAAAAAACATTAGGTTCTTTTTTAACCCAACTGTTGGGTTACACATATTGGGTGACTATGTTGGGATATTTTCCAGAAATGCTGTATAAATAACCCAGCTGTTGGGTTAAATATGTATGTTGCATGTAAACTTGTATTTTGTATATTTACATAAATTTCTTGGCTCCCCAATATTTAGTTTTATATATTTTGTTGAGACATATTTACACAAATAAACAATCTGTGTTTGAAAACAAAGTGTATTATACTTATTAAAATAAATAAATAAAAAATGCTGGGTTGTTTTAACCCAATGTTGGGTAAAATATGGACAAACCCAGCCATTGGGTTAAAAATGTAATTTAAAATTGTAACCCAATGGCTGGGTTTGTCCATATTTTACCCAAAATTGGGTTAAAACAACCCAGCATTTTTTAGAGTGTGTTGTGTTACTTTAAACCCAACTTGCTTTTAACCCAATTCATTGGGTTAAAATAACCCACAGTTGGGTTGGGTTGTTTTTAACCCAACATTATTAAGTGAGTCAGAATTCTTGGTATTGCATCTGAGCTGTACATTATTTGACAGCTGCATCCATATACACTCTAAAAAATGCTGGGTTGTTTTAACCCAATTTTGGGTCAAATATGGACAAACCCAAAATGTTGGGTTAAAAATGTAATGTAAAAATTTAACCCAACGGCTGGGTTAGTCCATATTTGACCCAAAGTTGGGTTAAAACAACCCAGCATTTTTTAGAGTGTACGCTTGGTATGTTAGCATAATAATGAATTCTGGGTAAAAACAGAGCAACATTTGCAGACACAAAGACAGTGCTCTGGCACAGCAGTGTGAGCTGTAGATGTGCAGGTGACGGGACTCAACACTGGCTCGGTCACCGGATCGCCTCTCGTCTCCGTGTTCCTCCTGATTGGGGGGATTGTGTGTTTCCCATGAGCAGTTCTCCGCTCACTTCATCTTGGGTTCTCATCACCAGAGCTGATCAAAGCGCAGGAGATTACCCAGCGGAACCAGGAGATCACAGCGCTGCACGTATGAATGTGCTCAGTGTATGAGAACTGATGAAGCATGAAGCTGACCTGAGATCAGGTCTTTTACACTGAAAATTACGGCTTTTGTTTCTCTGTGAACATATTTCTATGTATTTATCGATTGTCGTGGAAATTCTTAATACGAACAGAACCTAGTTCATCTGACTTCTTCACCAGACAATTTAAACAGCTTCCCGTTGCCTTGCCTATCTTGAAGTAATTCCCTGAATACTTCCAATACAATACTTCCCTGAAATAAGGTGACGGCGTCCCTTCTAGAAGCTACTATACCTCAGTCACACACTTCAGCTGTTTCTGTTGATGTCTGTCTCAGATTCACATATAGACCATTTCACAAGATGTAAACAACACTGGTCCAGAAACACTTCCTGTTTCAGTTTGTAACTGTTTTCTTTATTTCACATAAAGAAAACATCTTAATGATGTTTGTTTAACTTTTTGATTCTGTTTTAAATGTTCTGTTGGTTGTATTTTATCCCAGCTTTTATGTAGTGTTAAAAAACTGAAACAGGAAGTGCTTCTGGACCAGTGTTGTTTACATCTTGTGAAATGGTCTATAGCCTACCTGACACGACACCCAAGCCGCTCTGAGTAGAAATGAAGTTTTATTCACGGCCTGGAGATCACTAGTGTCTTGAATAGAAAGATACATGTACATTTAAATCATACGGTTGAGTAAAAAACAATCACTCAAGCCTTCTTCACTGTGATGTGTTCTGCTGATTGGTTTCTAATGCTAATCATAAGACTGTTAGTCAAGCACTCTTTGGTTAATATGTGGCCTTTGACCCGAGCATCCTCAGTCTGCATTTCTCTGTAGCTACATCCATCTATCTATCTATCTATCTATCTATCTATCTATCTATCTATCTATCTATCTATCTATCTATCTATCTATCTATCTATCTATCTATCTATCTATCTATCTATCTATCTATCTATCTATCTATCCATCCATCCATCCATCCATCCATCCATCCATCCATCCATCCATCCATCCATCCATTTATGCCTATCCATCTATCTATCCATCTATCCATCCATATATCCATGTATCTATCTATCTATCTATCTATCTATCTATCTATCTATCTATCTATCTATCTATCTATCTATCTATCTATCTATCTATCTATCTATCTATCTATCTATCTATCCATCCATCCATCCATCCATCCATCCATCCATCCATCCATCCATCCATCCATCCATCCATCCATCCATCCATCCATCCATCTATCGATCTATGTATTCACATCTATGTTGTAGCCTACAGTTCACAGTATTTTTTTATTTTTTATTTTGGTAGCGAAATTACGGAGAAGCCCGAGCTATTGAATATTAATTAAGTCACGTTGACATTTATTAACAGTCCTGGAGCGTCCAAGCAACGGCTATTTAATTAATATTTGTAATATAGTAATGTAATAGAAATAAATCCACTATATTCACTTCACCTAGCGAGATGCGCGTGTCGTACTTAATATTCATGAGCTAATCTTTCCCCGTAGTAGGATTGGTGGAAGCCAGCGGGGGGGAACCAATGAGCGCGTCGGGTGCTTCTTGCGCATGCGCGAGCTAGAGAGCGCACTGAGAGTTTGAGTGTTTTTCTCCAGTCTACTGAGTTTGTGAATGGGACTCACGGCGTTTATGAGTGTTTCGAACTGTTTTATGTTCACAGACACACGCGAGAATTCCTCATTTTGGACGGAAAATATTTTTTTTTGTTGCAGTTTTCTGTTGTTCTAAATTGGATTACATCCGTAATGATTCGAAGTAAAACGTAAGTGGTGTTTTATTTGTGTTTCTGTCTTTCTGCTGCACAGGACACCAGACTGACCGCTTTGAATTGATTCCAAGTCTTGAGTTTATTCTATTTAATTTCATTATCCGAACAGTATTTCTCATCGTAGCCGTTTGCCATTTTAATTTGCAGAGCGATTTATTTTGAAGCATGCTGACACTAATTGAACATTTACATTTTCTTCCTATGTTTGAGAAATGATGTTTGTGTTTTGCTCATACCTGCTGGTGTTTGAAGTATATTATTTCCAGGCTTTTATAACATGAGAATGAGTTCAAACAATGTTCGGACGACGAAATAACTTTCCAAGCCGTTCATAAAGTGACTCAAAAGGCTTTAATCTTTCGTGAATGGCTGTAGATATGCAGCATTGTTGACTTGCCGTTTTGATATTTGCTTTTTTTCTCCAATTTAAATGTTTTGATAGCGCGCGCTCAAGTGATACTCTCTGGCAGGACAATATGTGTTTTTTTACAGTTCTATTACATTTCTATTTCGGTTTCTACATACCGATTGGTGAGTCATTAGTGGGGCTTTTGGAGGTGATCGATAATGATGACGATAACTGTCGCTTGTGTAAGTTCTTAAAGGTATAGTTCACCCAAAAATTAAATTTCGTCATTAATAATTACTCACCCTCATATCCTTCCAAAGCACTCGTGTCGCTTCATTAAATTGAGGTTAAACCAGTGGAATCACGTGGATTACTTTAATGACCTCTTTACTGAGGTTTAAAAAGCGGTAGTTGCGGGGACTGTCAATGGAGGCACAGAAAGTGCTCAGATTTCACTGAAAATATCTTAAGTTGCCTAAATAATGACAATTTTTTATTTTGGGTGAACTAACCCAGACAGCAAACTGACATTGAATCAACGTGGAAACGACGTCTCTCATGACATTCAAACAACGTTGATTTTGCTCATCGAATTAACGTTGAACCAACGTCAGACGCGGCATTCTTCAAAGCTTAATGAAAATCGAAAATTGGTTTGCTTTCATTACGTTAAAAACAACGTTGATTTCAAGTTGAGTTTCCGTTAGTTTTGAAAGAATAACGCGTCTGACGTTGGTTCAACGTTAATTCGATGAGCAAAACAATGTCAGATCAACGTTGTTTCAATGTCATGTTTCCACGTTGATTCAATGTCAGTTTGCTATCTGGGAACCCTCTAAATATACATCCATTGATTGCCTTGTCAGTTGATAAGTGACTTAAAAAAATTATATGCATACATTTAATCATTTTTGCAGACGCTTTTATCCACAAAGCGACTTAAAAATGAGGAGAGCAATAGAAGCAGTTAAACTAACAATAGGACAACAACAGTATGTAAATATGTATTTTTGTAGAGTAAATTTACAGAAAGTGTAAGTATTAATAGATCAAGTGTTGCCGAAAAAGATGCGTCTTCAGCCGCTTCTTGAAAACGTCAGCCGCTCGGGTACATATCCAGCATAAATGAACCACGTGAACACTATTTAAAGCATCCCAAGATTTACCAAATGACCATGAAGTTGGTTGAGGGAATGAACAGTGTCTCATTTTCTAACAGTTTGGGTCATGCTTTAGGAATTTACATTCTATCATCATTTTGATTACTATTATTGTGGAAAATGGTGCAGATATAGCCTAGTATTCGTAAGTCCATGGATTACAGCGTTCTCATGTTTTTGGCAGCACAGCCGCTCGTTTGCCCTGCCAGGAATCCTGAATCTGTGTCAGCCTCACTTTTTCTTTCTTTTCTGTTGATCTGTTATTGTCCCGTGGCCTCGTTGGCACTAATGAACTGGACTGCAGGAAGGAACCGCACGTAGGGTGTGTGTAGATACACATGTGGCAGGAGTTTCTCGGAAAACACAGTGTTTGAGCGCTCTCACGTGCTGGGATCTCAACACCTCTGGCCCTTTAAAAGAGTAATCTCAGGCTGAACACGTCCCTGGCAGCAGCACAAGTCCAGCGGGGAAGCACACACTCATTACAGACACACTCGTGTTAATTGGGGGACAAGAGCTGCCAGGTGCCCGACCCCGTAGGCTCACTTCGGGTCATGGCTGTAAACAACCTCATTGTGCGTTGATGACCGGAGCTGGTGTGTTTAAAGCACGCAAGTGAGGACTAACAGCATGATGTCATCTTAGTTTGATGATAGCACTGGTTGTAATAAAATCTACAGTGCCCTGACAAAATAAAAGTGGCTGTTTTGATTTAAAGGGGGCTTATCTTGAAAATCTGACTTGTGTAATTGCTAGAATCGGGTCCGTTGTGCATCTCCCAACCCTGAAAGCGTGAAAAGTGATAAAAGCCTTTCTCAAAAAATAAGCCAATCAGATTTTGCTCCCCTTCTGATGTATGAAGAGGATCTTATTATAATATTACCGGCATTAATCTGCACGTTTTCACACACCAGCCGACATTTGGTTTTCGCAAGAGACAACAGTGACCATTTCTCACGCAATGATAAAATTTCTATGCTAACTGTGCTGTCGTTGAGCACCTAGACGAACGCTGAACACTATTGACCAGAACGTGACACTTCTGTCAACTTGTGTAAAAGTTAAACCTGACGGTACATGCCAGTCGATGAGATGAATCCACGTAACTCCACAACAACTACATAAATGATGTATCCACTAGCCAGTGTTGGGTGTAACTAATTACTAAGTAATTAGTTACTGTAGTTTAATTACTTTTCCCTTGAAAATGTAAAGTAAGGGATTACTCTTCATTTATCTGTAATTTAATTAGAGTTACTTCTGATGTAATTGAGGTAAATACTGTGTGTAGATCAATCCGATCTCACAGCGATTCGTATGCATTTTATGAGGTTTCTAAATTGTATAACCGCACTCGTATGAATTATTGTAAAATATGTATGAAAAAAGTGTGAAATGTCATGAGATCAGACATAATAGTGGGTTTAACATCAAAATGTATTGTCTGATGTTAAAAAGTATGTTTTTATAATTTAACCTTCTCCACCTTGGTCTGGATAGGATAATTCATGCAATTTTATAGTATTTATTTGAAATTAAATTAAATTCATGTCTATCCTAGTATTATTCAGCTGGTTGAGATTGATATGGGATTTTGAAAGTAATTAGTAATTAAAAGTAATTAAATACTTTTTAGAGAGAGTAATTACTACATTAATCTAATTACATTGTTGAAGAGGTAATTAATAACTAGTAATTAATTACTTTTTAGAGTAACTTACCCAACACTGCCACTAGCATTCAGAAACGTCTGCACGAGTTCGCTACTGAGATTTTGTATATCTGAATCTTGTGCAAAGTCTCCGCCCTCTTCTGAATGGAGGCGGAGCAACAATTGCTCATTTGCATTTAAAGGGACGCACGCAAAAACGTTGTGTTTTTGCTCACCCTCAAAATGTAGCAAATTTGACAAGCTATAATAAATCTGTCTGGTATTTTGAGCTGAAATTTCACAGACACTTTCTGGGGACACCCAAGATTTATATTACATCTTGTGAAAAGGGGCATAATATGTCACCTTTAAATAGGCATAAGTTAAGAGTCTATGATTGGGGATTATTATGTTTCTAGCTTGTTATATGTTTGGCAACAGTTCTTCTAACCCTAATTGATGGAGTGTGTTAGCATTTCTTAAACGGCCATGTAGGAATACACACATCATGGCCATATTGCAGGATGACAAAATCAAGGTTCATCAGACTCAGATTGTGAAAGAATAATTTTCACTCATGAATCCCGAGCTTAAATTCACTGAGAGTCTTTGGGATGTTCTGGAGGAGACTTTACAGAGAGCCGGACCAATATAAGATCTTGATGCAACTCAGTTTTTGGTCCTGGAATATGGCCATGAGTGTGGTTCTTACATGGCTGTTTATGGATTCAAAAGTTAAACACTCCATCAATTATAGTTAGGTGAACTGTTGCCAAACATATAGCAGGATAGAAACATTATAATCACTGCAATAATGATCCAATCATACTGTAAGTTGCGTTTCCATTATTCTTCAAATTACTGGACTTGACTCGACTTGAAATAGCCCCAATGGGACTTGGAAAAATCTGGTAACCTTTTATTTATTTTCTGCAAGCTAGTGATTAATGTTTACTATCCCTTCATCACCTGCTTTTACCATTGGATAGGTTGAGTTTTGGGGTGGGGTTGGATTATATTTTGTATTGTTTTGCATTGTTTAGTTTTTATAAAAATAAAAGGGTGGTTAACCTTCAAATGGTCTTGGTTTCCTGTTTGCACTTCTAGGCTTCGGGGTCTACGACCCCAACAATTGATTGAGTAATTGTACAAAAATATACATTTTTAATCATACAAATAATATATTATTTTTTTTTGTTTACTTCTCATCTATTCATTAATGCTGTGTTTTTGGAGATATAAAGTACTTTTGTGTCCATATACCACACAATTCCTCAACTACACCATTAGCTTGCATATGAAATATTATTTTGTTTTAATGATACATTGATACTAGGCCTTCATTTCTGTGTAAAAATTTTCAGATTTATGCTGGATTTATTGATTTTTTTGACACATGAAGAAAATATATTTAGTTTTTTTTTTCACATTTCCGATTCATTTCAATGAAGACCAGAAGTGTAAACATTTGAACAATCGAATCAAGCCCAGTTTTTGTGTGTATGTATAGATAGATAATGTACGAAAAGTCACAAAATCTTAAATCTGACCCGATTGAGGGCTACGTAATCTTCTGCTGAGGTACCAAATAAAAACATTTGAACATGAAAATAGGCCCAATGGAAACGATTTCACAAAAACTCCCATATATCGCAAAAAAGTTTTTATGTATATTTTACGTATACAAAATATTGTACGTTTTGCGCAAATCTGTAATGGAATCGCTATTTAAATCTAAACAGTGACTTTTTTCCCAGTGTGTACGCTGTATGTTTCGTTTGTAGAATCGCATAAAAAACCTGAAGCAGCACAACTCTTTTCAACATTGGTAATAATCAGAAATGTTTCGTGATCATCAAATCATCACATTAGAGTGATTTCTGAAGGATCTGACTGGAGTAATGATGCTGTAAATTTTTTCCTCTAATAGATTTAGTTTTGATATTTTTAGCGCTAATCTGTGTGCCGTTCTTCAGCTGTTGGAGAGTTTGCGGTGTAATAGTTGTTGCTTCAGTCTGTCGCTCTTCTGTCCCACTGCAGACACACTCGAGCGAGCGGACGCCATCTTTCTCCAGCTGTGCTGTATCGATTCTCTGAAGATTAAAGTCTTTAACGTTTCACGCCGCATACTTTGATGACACCCAGGAGCCGGAAGTGAGACTCATGGCCACCGTCCCGATCCCCCCTCCTCCTCCTCCCCCTCCTCCTCCTCTTCCTCCTCCTCCTCTTCCTCTGACCCGCACAGACTCTGGCCGCAAGCACCGGCTGCGCAATCTCAACTGGGAGCGGATCCCTAAGGAGCGCGTGGAGGGGCGAGCGAGTGTGTGGAGCGGCTCGCTGGACGAGGACACTGACCTCTCCATCGACCTCAGCTCTCTGGACGAGCTCTTCAGGCAGAAAGAGGGCGTGAAGCCGGACCGGGCCGCTGGCTTTCGCCGCAGTTTGCTGAGGAGCAGGTCTCCACTAGAGATGAGTGTGGACAAAGTAAGAGCACGCCGTTTCATTATCTGCCATCTTGCAAAACTATATATGAAGAGTTCAGATGCAAAAGCCTCTAAATGCCATTTGAAATTTTCTTCTTTAATGATTATTTTTATCAAGCTTGTATATTTAAGTTCAGTAATTTCACTTAAATGGCAATGATAAATACCTATTAATTGTTATTTAAGTGAAATTACTGAACTTAAATATACAAGTTTGATAAAAATCATCATTAAAGAAGAAAATTTCAAATGGCATTTAGAGGCGTTTGCATCTGAACTCTTCATATATATATATATATAAACCCACTTCATAATGTTGGGTTAAAAATAACCCAAAAGGTAACCCAACTATGGGGTTTGTATTCAACCCAACTGCGGGTTATTTTAACCCAATGGGTTAAAAGTAACCCAACAGTTAAGTTAAATTTATGATATTATGTTAATAAATAAAATACACTGTGTTTTTAAAATACAGATTGTTTATTTGTATAAAACAATATGTCTCAACACTCTAAAAATGCTGGGTTGTTGTTTCAACCCAAATTTGGGTCAAATATGGACAAACACAAACGTTGGGTTAAAAATGTAATGTAAAATTTAACCCAACGGCTGGATTGGTCCATGTTTGACCCAAATTTGGGTTGAAACAACCCAGCATCTTTAGAGTGAACAAATTTATTTTTGAATTACAAACTAAATATTGGGGAGTGTAGAATTTAATTTAAATGTACATAATTGTGTACAAAAAGAAAAATTTAAAATACACTACAACATGCGTAACCCAACAGCCGGGTTATTACTAGAAATTACACAAGGATTTTAGAAATTACCCAACATTTTTGGAAAATAATGACCCAATAGGTGTAACCCAACGGTTGGGTTAAAAAACAACCCAGCATTTTTGACCAGGGTTTGACATTATGCGTGTGTATTTCATCAGTGGTGTGTAACACAGTCCCTTTTATATAGACCTCTTTTTCAATTGTAGTCTTTTAAACGGCATCTGAAATAAAAATGTTGTGTTGTCAAAAATATTGCTTTTTCAGTACATATCGATTCTGAAATATCTGAAAGGCTAATTTCCCGCAGAATAGATACCAGCATCTCTCTCTCTCTATCTCTTCGACAGCGAGTGACACACAAACCCGCCTCTCCTCACTCACTCCATTCATTTTCTCCTGATGAATATTGTTTCTGACTGTTATGGGCTTGAATTTCACCGTGGGATCGTGTGTGTTGCGCATCATTTTACTTCTTCCAGCAGATTTTGTGCTCTCAGTAATAAATTGAGCTCTTTTTCACTGTTTATTGCACTTAAACGGTCAAATACACACAAAATAATGTCAAAATGTCGGTCTTGACGAGTATTCACGTAAACTATCAGTTCTGTTTAAAGTGAATGTAAACAGTTGAGAAAGAAAACGCATGTGAATCAGTATAACGGATCTGTGCGTCAGCTCTTAAAGTGACAGAAGCCTAATATTCCTGACGCCAAATTAAGAGATAATATTAAAAACATACATATGGCAAAATTGTGGCCAGTGAAACCGCTGCTGAGTGGCTCATAACTTTAGGAAACCACTGACCACAGCGACTGATGAGCAAAACAGTGAATGTCAAGCCCTGGTCATGACCGTCAGGTAACATTCAGAGACCGTATAAAGGATGTCCTTGTGTTCAGCCGGACCCAGAACCACAGTTTTATGAAAGTTTTTAATGCATGGCTGTTTCACCAATCATTATTACATATTCGGGTCTTCAGATCTACATCGTCTCCAATATTTGATCACACACAGTGCTTGCTCAGTGTTTCTGATGATACTTGTGTATCCTTTTTGGTAATTATGAGTCATCATTATGATCATCATTGTGAATCAGAAACTCCCACCTTGAGGAATAAACGTAAATTGCATTTTTAAAGTCATTAAAACATTCAATTGACGCACAGAACACATTGTTTTTTGCTCTGTTGTCGCTTGCAACCCTATACACTCCCCACACTTTTTTTATGTTCTTGTTGGTTTATAATGAATAAAGTTAGGAGTACTAAGAAAGTTAATGAGTGCGAGGGTAGCGAACGACGTCACGTGTTTAAACATTAACTTCACTTAACTTGACAGAAATGCAATGTTTATGACTCAAGATGCTGAAAAACGGGATTATGCATGTTTTCACATGTGCAGGATTCGGCATTGGACTTCACTGTGGCTTTTCGATGAGTTTGTCAGTGTGTGTGAGCTGATCGCTGTGTCTGTGTTTTGCAGGTTACACTGCTGGACTCAAAGCGCAGCATGAATGTTGGGATATTTCTGCGGCAGCTGAAAATGTAAGTTTTGGTTTATTTTAATATATTAGCCAGGCCAATCAAAAGGATAAATAAGTAAAAGAAGTCCTCATTTCATTTCTACAATTTATTTAGTGCTCATATGAGGGGTGTCACGATTCGACACATATCACGAGACTGAACTCACGATACTATATTATTGCGATACTCCAAGACATATGATAAAAGATTAATTATTGTACATTAGATGAATATGATGATCTCTGTCACTGACTAGATATATTTATAATAACGTTGGCCACTTGGACATCTGGCATTATCAGCACACACACATATCGCCCCAGTGCATTAATATGCATTATATTCAACATTATATATAGTAGTACTGACACTACAACTTGAATTTTCTCTCACATTGATGCATTTTTGCATTGCGATATATATATATATATATGAAGAGTTCAGATGCAAAATAAGTGCCATTTGAAATTTTCTCCTAGAATGATAATTTTTTATCAAGCTTGTATATTTAAGTTCAGTGATTTCACTTAAATGGCAATGATAATTACCTATTAATTGTTATTTAAGTGAAATTGCTGAACTTAAATATACAAGTTTGATAAAAATCATCATTAAAGAAGAAAATTTCAAATGGCATTTAGAGGCTTTTGCATCTGAACTCTTCATATATATATATATATATATATATATGTATATATGTAAATATGTATATGAAGAGTTCAGATGCAAAATAAGTGCCATTTGAAATTTTCTTCTAGAATGATAATTTTTTATCAAGCTTGTATATTTAAGTTCAGTAATTTCACTTAAATGGCAATGATAATTACCTATTAATTGTTATTTAAGTGAAATTGCTGAACTTAAATATACAAGTTTGATAAAAATCATCATTAAAGAAAAAAATTTCAAATGGCGCTTAGAGGCTTTTGCATCTGAACTCTTCATATTGTTACACCCCTAGTGGTATCACATTGGCCGCCCTGCTCTCTAATCTAGATATTTGCATTGGCCGTTTTTGTGACAGTCCATTTGTTAGGAATAGGAAATGAAGGTGTCCTGGAGGAAGCGTCTCGACACTTTAGACGGGCTTGATCTCCAGCCGGTGTTTATCTAGAGTCGCTGATTGCCCTCAGACGGAGGATAGATGTGCGAATGAAAAGGGGGGGGGCGGATGGCAAGTGTTCAGGAGATGCCGTCCAATCAGAACAGCTGGTTTTGATGGTCAGTGAAGGAGGTCAAAGGTCACACCTGCTTTGTGCCCGAATGAGCCGTGATGAGGAACGAAACCAACTTCTCGAAACATGCTCTGAGATTAAATATATCTGTTTCAATTCAGGTGTTTCCAAAGAAATGTGATCTTTGTGAGTGAAAGCTGTTCATAAATCATTATTTAGCGCTTTCAATGCCGTTGTTTAATGAAAAAAGGTTGGCGTTTTCATGTCAGCACTTGCTCTCTGAGTAAATATAATATATGGGAGTTCCCATTTGAGTTTGCAAACCTCTTCCATGGGACTGATATCTGTCGGGACATGTCGGAGAAGTGCTCACGCAGACAAACACATTTCCCTGTGTGTGTGTGTAACCTCATGTAAGTGCACACTTTTGAAGTGTACGAGTATGAATTATGCTCCGCGGTCTTTGTTCTGTAATACCTTTTCATTATTTCATTTCGAACGACAAGAGCCTTCAATACTCTCTGACATTAACAATTACATGTCATACAAATACAAAACATAAGCTAGTTGGGTCTTGTAAACCCTTTTTTTGAGAACCAGCTGTGGGTTTGACACACACATCCACATGTCCAAGTGAAACAGGTCAGGTCAACAGGACCAGGCAAAATTAAAATGCATTGATTTAATGCTTTTGAAACCCAGAACCTTTGACCGATAGTCCTGATACAGCTAAAACCATATTCAGATGGTATGTTTCTTATGTGCATGTCTATAAAAACACATTTGCATGGCATCTCAGTGCTAACGCGCTGCTCATGTCATATGCTTGGACTAATATGAATAAATTCCTTTTAAATGTAATAATAGGAAAATAACGTTTTATTTATTACTTATTCAAATCTCACTTTTAAAAATGGGAAGGACAGCGTATTTGTGTCTTATATTCTTGCATTTTATCAAAAGGATGTCATTTAAAAAAAAAAGGAAATTAGCGAGTTAATGCAGCCTCTTATTAATATGAAAAGCTGCATGGTTTTTAATGTGGTGTATAATAACCTACATATTTTTTTTAAAAGTATCATATATCGCTGTTGCCGGCCCGTTTCAAATGTTTACGTGCCTTTTTCTCCTTCCCCTTTGTTCGCGGAGGTGGAGCGTTGATGAAATTTACAAATTACTAATTATTTTTGTAAATATTTTCCAGCATTTCAGTAATAAGTGTCCATTATTAAAGGTGCAAAACGCAAGTCTCTGAGTTTTTGCAGAACTACGCCCCCTCTGGCGACAAGCGAAACTGCAACCAGAGGTGTACGCGCTCATGGACCACGTTTGCACGAGCCGTTCATAACTAAAGAAGCATCAGCCGCACAAATCTTTTGTTGGTCATAATGAAGTAATAAAGTTATAAATCTGCAAGTCATTTAAAATATATGAAAGGAAAGGCGTTCGAGTAAATTACAAACTTATGTGTGTGTGTGTGTGTGAGGGGAAAACTGTTTTATGTGCTTACTGTATCCACTTATGATTGAATTATTATGGAAACACGTTCATGAACAATATAAGTTATTACTTTGACCCGGTTGAGCCCTAGAGCCGACCGGAGATCTCTCCACGTGTTGAAAGCTTCCCGATGTCGACTCTCGTCTCACTCCGACGCCTGGCACTAGACAAAAGCTTTATTTTCTTTGTGTGACGTGGAGTTTGCGTTGGGGTTTGGAATGAAGTACAAGCCGGTCTCTTTGAATCCATCTTCTACTTTTGTGGAAAGTTGACTAAAGTTGTGTCGCTCGAGTTGTCTTCGCTGATACGGAGAATGGCGGCGAACACACAAACCTGCAGACATCGCCAGGCGAGTGTGAACACGCATGACGTCACGACAGTCTCAAATCCGTCCCGAATCCCTCTTATATATTTTACTGGACAGGATTATAGAGGCGATCGCAGTGATCAGAGAAGGGCTCATTCAGCCCATCAGGCGATTGTTTAAGCATGTATGGGGTAGACGGCTATTTTTAACATGAAATGTTGCATAATGCACCTTTAATGCATTTGACAGTCCCTCCAGAAAAACGCGATTATGCGATCGCTGAATTCAATGCAAAATCAGCCAAAGTCCGCATATTTATGCGGGGGCCGCATTTTTTCAAATACGCCGCACTTTCGCCGCATAAATTGCAGATTTCCGTGCAAAATATGCGGGGTTTGCATAATTTCATAATCCTCGCATTTTCGTTGCAAAAAAAAAGTCACATGTATCTTAGCAGAAAGTTGAAAAATGTTGCGTTTGCTTCACACAAGAGCAGCCATTTCCCCCTGTTTCCATGGGAACGTTATGAAGAGACGCAATTACGTGACGCCAGACAGACTCACGGAGGCGATTGACATCTCACAAATCGAACTCGTATAACTGTCTGTCACACGTTCTACTGTCACATCGTTACTTAATAAACAACATAAGATAAAAGAAGCAGCATCAAACAGAAATTACCCGCACACATGGGGTGTTCGAGGCGCACATATAACACTGCAGAGAGCTCTTAAAGGGGCCACACCTTATTTACACTCGTTACAGTCTGAAATAAAACAAGATGAGAAATTAAATATTCCCAGCACTTTCTATGATGTAGTATGCTTGCTTATCAAAGGAAGTAATAAGAAATGACTCTTATATTAACAGGATGTTGGGAATCACTTTTTTCTCTTTTTCATCAAACTGCAATTTTTGCAAGTTTCCTCAATTTTTGCAAATTCCAGCAATTTCATCGCATAAAATTGCATAAATATCCCGCATATTCCATCGCATTTTTAAAGAAAACGGGCCGCATAATCGATCAATTTTTGCCCGAAACAATCACAAAAAAAAACTCCGCGTTTTTCTGGAAGGACTGAATACTATTATGGTAAATGTTAAATATAAATCGCAAATTTTTTCACAAATTTTTGGAAATTACCACCACAAAATCAGTCATTTTGATCGCAAAAATCACAACAAAAAAAAATCGTGAAATCCTGGAGGGACTGATTTGAATCACAACAGTTATCTTGTGTCCTCAGCGGCGTGGAGGAGATCGTGGAGGACGTGAGACGAGGAGCCGGAGAGCGTTACGGAGCGGAGAAACTGGCGGAGCTCTGCAAACTTCTGCCTGATAATGAAGAGGTATCGCCTCTCACACACACTCAGAATTACACGTGATGCTGCTTGATCACTCTTTCTGTTGGACTGAGTGCTGAATATCAATGTTTTCTTATTTCTCCAGGAGGCCCGGTTGAAGAAGTTCAGCGGTGACCGTAGTTTACTGGCAGAGCCGGATCTCTTCATTCTCTTACTGGTGGAGATACCCAGGTCAGAGTTCAGGACTGAATGATCCAGTGTTAACTAGTGTTGTCAAAAGAACAGATTTCGGTACCATACCATTTAAAAAGTGTGATTCTAGCATTTTGAGCGCTGATTTTTTCACGTTCTCAACATATATGTCTGTGATTGGCCATTGCGTTCACGTTCTGAACATATATGTTTGTGATTGGCCATTGTGTTCAACTACTCAACATGTATGTCTCTGATTGGCCATTGTGTTCACGTTCTGAACACATACGTTTGTGATTGGCCATTGTGTTCAACTACTCAACATGTATGTCTCTGATTGGCCGTTGCGTTTAACTACTCAACATGTATGTCTCTAATTGGCCGTTGTGCTCAACTGCTCAACATATACGTCTGTGATTGGCCGTTGTATTCACACGCTCAACATATATGTCTCTGATTGGCCATTGTGTTCACACGCTCAACATATATGTCTCTGATTGGCCATTGCGTTCACGTTCTGAACACATACGTTTGTGATTGGCCATTGTGTTCAACTACTCAACATGTATGTCTCTGATTGGCCGTTGCGTTTAACTACTCAACATGTATGTCTCTAATTGGCCGTTGTGCTCAACTGCTCAACATATACGTCTGTGATTGGCCGTTGTATTCACACGCTCAACATATATGTCTCTGATTGGCCAATGCGTTCAACTGCTCTACATGATTGTCTCTGATTGGCCATTGTGTTCACGTTCTGAACACATACGTTTGTGATTGGCCATTGTGTTCAACTACTCAACATGTATGTCTCTGATTGGCCGTTGCGTTTAACTACTCAACATGTATGTCTCTAATTGGCCGTTGTGCTCAACTGCTCAACATATACGTCTGTGATTGGCCGTTGTATTCACACGCTCAACATATATGTCTCTGATTGGCCATTGTGTTCACACGCTCAACATATATGTCTCTGATTGGCCATTGCGTTCACGTTCTGAACACATACGTTTGTGATTGGCCATTGTGTTCAACTACTCAACATGTATGTCTCTGATTGGCCGTTGCGTTTAACTACTCAACATGTATGTCTCTAATTGGCCGTTGTGCTCAACTGCTCAACATATACGTCTGTGATTGGCCGTTGTATTCAAACGCTCAACATATATGTCTCTGATTGGCCATTGTGTTCACACGCTCAACATATATGTCTCTGATTGGCCATTGCGTTCACGTTCTGAACACATACGTTTGTGATTGGCCATTGTGTTCAACTACTCAACATGTATGTCTCTGATTGGCCGTTGCGTTTAACTACTCAACATGTATGTCTCTAATTGGCCGTTGTGCTCAACTGCTCAACATATACGTCTGTGATTGGCCGTTGTATTCACACGCTCAACATATATGTCTCTGATTGGCCAATGCGTTCAACTGCTCTACATGATTGTCTCTGATTGGCTGTTGTGTTCACACACTCAACATATGTCTCTGATGACAGAAGTCAGAGACTTATATGACTTGGACCAAACTTGGTCTTTCACTGAGCGCTGATTAATCCTCCTCCTCTTCATCATCACCAGCTTCCGCATGCGCCTGGACGTCCTGATCCTCCAGCAGGAGTTTGACCCCGCGGTGACCTCTCTCTGTGTGGCGGCCGGATGTCTGCGGGAGGCGGCTCGAGGTAAACACACACACACACACACACTGCCTCTCTCTGGGCTGGTTTGGAGCGGTTGAGGCTCTGACGGCTTCAGCTCCAGACACACACACTATCAGAGACTCGTGCTGGAGTTCTGCTGCCATGTTTCACCTTCTGCATCCTTATAGACATGTGTCTTTTCTGTGTTTTTTTTTTTTATTTATCATGTTGCCTGTGTTGAAGGAGAACTCCGGCGCAAAATGAACCTTTGGTCTAATTACACATTGTTACCTAGTCAACTGTTATCTGAGATTTGTTTTCATGATTGCCGAATGTAAATAGTTTTATCTCTAAAAACAGTTTAGCCTATAACGCTAGTATAATGCTAGTATATGGGGCATAGAGTAATGACAAATAAAAAACGCGTGTTATTACCACTAACAAGGCTCAAAATAGCCCCACACTAACGCGACAGCATAATAAGAGTCCCTACATTCAAACCAAAGCATTGAGAACTTTGTCAGTGTCCATACAGTTTAATAAGCAGATATTTTATACACACAGTCAACTTCACGAATACAGGAAGAAGCCATCTTGGAAAAATAGTCCCTATCAGTCGATCTACGAACGCCGATCCATGTGCGCTGAACTGTGCAGAATCTCATATGATCTGTTGTTTCCGGAAGAAACACAAACACGAACCGTTTTCTTCTCTTCAATATGTACACGTAGCCTACTGTTCACGCTCACCTTATCACCTTATTCACATCACACCAGCGCACTCGGATCGGCGTTCGTAGATCGACTGGTAGAGACTATTTTTCCAAGATGGCTTCTTCCTGTATTCGCTAAGTTGGCTGTATGTATAAAATATCTTCTTATTAAACTGTATGGACACTGACAAAGTTCTCAATGCTTCGGTTTGAATGTAGGGACCCTTGTTATGCTGTCGTGTTAGTGTGGGGCTATTTTGAGCCTTGTTAGTGGTAATAACAAGCGATTTTTATTTGTCATTACTCTATGCCCCATATACTAGCGTTATAGGCTAAACTGTTTTTAGAGATAAAACTATTTACATTCGGCAATCATGAAAACAAATCTCAGATAACGGTTGACTAGGTAACAATGTGTAATTAGACGAAAGGTTCATTTTGCGCCGGAGTTCTCCTTTAATGCCAATTGCATGAATTTTGGCACAGGTGTGTAGTTTTATTGGACGTTTACTATTTCACCCTCATTTCCTTTATAAAATCTATTTTGCACCAGTAACACACAAAACTTCCTCTCAGCACCCATTGAAGCCCATTAAAACTGGAATTTTTTAATCCCAGGGCCGTTTAACTCTAAAACGACGCAATCTTTGTTAATAGGGTTTCATTCTGTTGGCAAGGCTTCAAAATTAGAAAATGTACAATATTTTTTTTTTTACCAGATGTCGACATTTTCTCAAGTTTGGCCTATAAAGCAAATACTCACTTTTCTGTATATTATAGATAGAGCCAAATGGATGAGTTATGCAGCTGTAATTGTGTGTGTGTGTGTTAGTGTGGTCATGTGTGTAATAAATCGGCAGTTGTTGTGAGATATCAATCTCAAATTTGGAACACAACTTGTTTAGATTTCCAGCAGTTTTGGAGTTCAACATGTTTCCTAAAATATATTTTTTTGAGTGTCGTGAGTGGCTTTGATTGACAGATCATGTGTTTACATCAGTGCTTGATGCTCATGTGTGTTTGCAGAGCTGCTGAGCTGCCCCGAGCTTCACTACATCCTGCGACTGGTGCTGAAGGCGGGAAACTACATGAACGCTGTAAGTCTTGTTTTTGATAAGCCGTGTCCTCGTATGCAGTCATGCTGAGGTCTCTCGTTCTCTCAGGGTGGTTACGCTGGAAATGCTGCTGGATTCAGGATTTCCTCTCTGCTCAAACTGGCTGACACCAAAGCCAACAAACCAGGCATGAACCTCCTCCATTTTGTTGCCATGGTGAGTGTTGTGATGATGTCACACGAGCCTGACTCTCATTATGCCTCTTTACATGAAAGGAAGCCACATGATGATGTCATTATGATCGAGGTTCAGCACGAGTAATGTTCTCTTCTTCTGTCCTACAGGAGGCGGTGAAGAAGGATAAAGACTTGCTGACGTTTCCCAGCCGCCTGAGTCACGTGGGTCCAGCTTCAAGGTCAGGAGACAAACACCTTCTGAGATCAGTCCAGAACAGGGCTATTCAATTAAAGTTCAGAAAGGGCCGGTCTCTCTATTTCCTTCCCAGCATAGGTCCGGACAATACTTTTTTGACATCCATCGAGGCAGCCCGTAGGATACTAAATCCTAAACACTCAAAATTTTCATAAAAATTTTTTTTGCCAAAAAATAAAATAAAAGATGAACAAAACTGGATTTGTTCTCTCAACTGGATATGAATATAAAAAGTTCAGATGTTTTAATTGGCTATTTTTATTTTAAATGTGTGTATGGCACAGAGAAGGCCTTGGGACTGAGCAAACCTAAAGGGGGTGTGGGGTGAACCATTTTTATATTTTGTTTAAAGCAATAAACTACTTAAAGGAGTAGTTCAATTTTAAAAAACTTTTGCTGATAATTTACTCACCCCCATGTCATCCAAGATGTCCGTGTCTTTCTTTCTTCAGTTGAAAATAAATGAAGGTTTTGGATGAAAACATTCCAGGATTTTCTCCATATAATGGACTTCAATGGGAACCAAACGGTTCAAGGTCCAAAAGACAGTTTCACTGCAAACTGTTCAAAGGACTTTAAACGACTCCAGACGATGAATAAGGGTCTTATCAAGCGAAACGATCGCTCATTTAATAAATAATTAACAAAGTTTAAGTTTTATAAGCTCAAATGGTCGCCTTGCTAACAAAGATTTGTTCATTTTGATGAACGAGTTCGAACAGGAGAGTCACACAGAACCGTTTGGTTCCCATTCAACATGTCAACTTTGAATGTCAAAACAATATCAACTTTGCATTAAAAGTGTCATAATTTACCGAATGACACTTAATGACAAAAGTCATAAACATTCATAAAGACTCCATGTTCATGACAGGTGTTGTGTCATGTTTATGACAGTGTCATGTCAGTCTTATGCACACCCCTTCAAATAAAGTGTTACCAAATAATAATTTTTTGGTAAAGTTTAAGCATTTTTAGTTTTGAATTATGAGCTTTTTTAGGTTTTTCTATGTGTACTGAAGCATTCCTCACATCCCATTCATTCAAAAGGGGTCAAATTGACCTGCAAGGGAAGGATTTGTTACTTTTTATGATTTTAACCACAAATCCATAAAAAATGTATTGTGTGTATTCATGGTTCAAGTGCGACAAAAGTCCTGGGGTATGTATGGGACCCCTCTGATGAACACTCAATTTGTAAAAAAAAGAAATTTCCAAGGCAAAGTGACCCGAGGGAAGGGTGAAGGGTTGTTGTGACATCATTGTCATCAGCTTCACACAACATAATATTAGAGCGTGAGTGATCAGGTGTTTTTGTGTTCAGGTTGTCAGAAGAGTCCGTACTGGAGGATCTCTCTCGACTGCAAAGCCGAGTGTCAGCGCTCAGAGTCCGAGCTCAGGCCGACGCGGAAATCCAGATGCAGACCAGAGCCTTTCTAGAGGTGTGTGTGTGTGTGTCCAGGTCATGATCACAGATGCTCCTGTTCAGGTGTAAATCCCTCACTTCTTCCTTCAGGTTGCGGAGGTGAGGCTGACCGAAGCCCAGGAGGAGCTGGACCGCTTGCAGGAGAGCAGCAAGGCTTTAGTGGAGTTCTTCTGTGAGGATGACAAGACCTTCAGGCTGGAGGAGGCCTGTCTGATCTTCCACGGCTTCTGCCATCGCTTCCAGAGGGCCGTACAGGTGAGCCGGACTGTCTCTTTAAATAGAAACTACACAAATGAAGTTTAAAGTCCCCCTGTAGTCAATAATTGTATCCTTTAACTCATCTTTGATCACCAGAATGCCATATTTAAACGTTTGTTCCTTAGAAAATATATTGTTCCTTAATATATCTTGAATGTAACTCGACACCCTTGCCTTATTTAGTATGCACGGTTCTATGAATATGCAAATGAGCCCCACCTCCACTCACTCACTCACTCACTCAGAGATCCACTGGTTGACGATCACATGTTGATCTGATTGGTTACAAGGTGGTTTGTGACGTCAGAAACAGTTTTAAGCAGGAAATACTCCGCAATGCTGAATCTGAAAGTGGTTATTACAAACACACACAAAGATTAACTTGACATTTTCATGTAAATATGATAGATGGCAACCTCTTAACTGATGTTTAATTGGTTAGATTGTTTATTATTGATAATATAAATATTTGCTACTAAAAGGAAAACTATAGAAGCTTGTTTCTGCCACTGAATAAAAAAAATAAATATGCGGTGGTGGAAACTGTGGTGGAAACAAGCTGGAATAGAAAACAGCAACTTCATTTGATCTGTAAATGCCAATCATATTATCCAATCAGAAGAAGCATCACTTCAACCATACAGTTCTTCAAATATTTAATGTACAGTTTTTGAAAAAATATATATATATTAAACAGCTAGTTACAGATAATGGCAATAAAAGGCATGTTAATAGGCAAACAAAGATTAAAAGGCCAAATAAAGGCATACATTTACATTTTATTAATATCCATCAACAGTATGTGGTTATAAACACTATTACTTGTATAAATAAAGAGCTCTATAAATGTATAAAAAAATATTTATTACAAGCAAGTAATTAATAATAATTTGTCTTCCGTGAACATTTTAAGTGACACAAATCTGTGAATCGGCTCATAGAAATGGTCGTTTCAAATCTGACTTTCTCACAATTTAAAAAAGTCATAATTATGAGATAAAAATGATCTCATACCATTGCAACATTATCAACTATGCAGGCTTTCAAATGTTAAATGTTAAGTTTGAAATATTAAATGTATTAATATTAAATATATAAAATAAGTATTTTATAAAATATTAAAAAGCTAGTTACAGATATAAAAGGCATGTTAATAGGCAAACATAAAGATTAAAAGGCCAAATAAAGGCATACATTTACATTTTATTAATATCCATCAACATTATGTGGTTATAAACACTATATTTACTTGTATAAATAAAGTGCTCTATAAATGTATAAAACATATTTATTACATGCAAGTAATAAATAATAATTTGTTGCATGTAAAATCTTTCATGAACATTTTAAGTGACACAAATCTGTGAATCGGCTCATTGAAATGGTCGTTTCAAATCTGACTTTCTCGCAATTTAAAAAAAGTCATAATTATGAGATAAAGTCGCAATTACGATTGCAGCATTACCAATCATGCAGTCTTTCAAATGTTAAATGTTAAGTTTGAAATATTAAATGTATTAATATTAAATAATATATAAAATAAGTATTTATAACATATTAAAAAGCAAGTTACAGATATAAAATGCTAATAGGCAAAAAAATAAAGATTAAATGGCCAAATAAAGGCATTTAACTTGATTAAATCGAATACATTTTATTAATATCCATCAACAGTATGTGGTTATAAACACTATATTTACTTGTATAAATAAAGCGCTCTATAAATGTATAAAAAATATTTATTACAAGCAAGTAATTAATAATAATTTGTTACATGTAAAATCTTCCATGAACATTTTATGTGACACAAATCTGTGAATCGGCTCATTGAGAATGGTTTCTTTCTTGCAATTTAAAAAAATAATAATTATGATGTAAAAAAAAGTCGCAATTTCCTTTACAACATTATCAACCATGCAGGCTTTCAAATGTTAAATGTTAAGTTTGATATTTTATATATTTAATATAAGTATTTATAACATATTAAAAAGCAAGTTACAGATATAAAAGGCATGTTAATAGGCAAAAAAATAAAGATTAAAAGGCCAAATAAAGGCATTTGATTAAATCGAATACATTTTATTAACATCCATCAACAGTATGTGGTTATAAACACTATATTTACTTGCACTATATGTAAAACTTTCCATGCACAAATCTGTGAATCGGCTCATTGAAATGAACTGAAGTGTTGACCTCTGCCTTGTGTCCTGACAGGAGAACACAGAGCGGGAGTTGCAGGAGCAGCGGCGCGTGGCCCGCGAGCGTGAGAACGTGGGAAAGCGTCGTTCCCTGGCTCTGTGTACGGGCCTGGAAGAGGAGCGCGACTCAGACGACCTGGATCACGCTCTGCAGAGGAGCTTGAGTTACACGGGCAGCCGGCGGAGCCTGCGCAGACTCTCACAATACTTCCTCCGCTCCAGCGAGAGAAACGCCACATCTGACATCCAACAGCAGCCCAACTCAACCCTCAGAGACTCGGCGCTCCTGAGACAGAAGGAGGAAGATCAGGAGCTGAGCACAGATGCTACATGCGGCCTTCAAGCAGACGCTGTGAAAAGCCAATCTAGGTTGAATACGAGGACAGTCCCCAGTGATAACGCTTTTGTTGCTTTGGGAAAAACAAGTATCACGTCACATCAGCAGGGGGCAGCGAATGTCCTCCCGCTCGCAGGAATATCCCCTAACAAAGTGTTGAAAGTTGAGAAACGGGTTCAAGACGCCTCTGAAAGGCTGACGCAGATTGCGAAGGATCCTGAGAAGAAGGATTGTGTAAATGACAAAGACTCTCAATCTCAGAGAGGAGCAACACTAGAGACGGACACCAAAACGGCGTGGACAAACGCGTGTGAAGCTAGTCGTGCGTGTAGCGCAGAGCGAGAGCTCGTTTACCCTCGTGTCGGAGAAACGCTGGAGTGCCACACGCTAGTGAAGGGCCTTCGCTCCTACGAGAGCCTTTCTCCAACCGTGACGCGACCAGCCACAAATAATCACTGCTCAAAGTGGAGGAAAGAGCGGGAAGCTGAGGAGCGAGGTTGCGCTAGCTCACCCCATGCTAAGGATGATAGCCGTCTAAAAACGCCCCCTCGAGGGCCGTCTAAAAGACTGATGGTTCCCCGCGGAGCGCCTTCTAACTATAGCGGGATCCCGAGAGTTCATAAGACTCCCGCTGATAGCTCATCAGCTAGTCAGGTATCGCGTCCCGCATCCGTACGCACATCGCTAATGAAACGCTTCAGCGGAGGCCAAAATGAGCTCAAACGCAATAGTAGTGCGAGGCAGAAAGCGAACACGCCGCCGGATACGGGGATACTAAAAGGTAACGCCGTTGAAAAGTCGAAGCAGGGCGAAGACAAGCCTTTTATGAGGGGCTCGCCTCTTCGCGTGTCCAAACGGGTAGCGCCCAACTCTGAATCCGCGGCTAACCACACCATACACAGTCCCACCGCGGCTACGACCGCGAAGACCATCCGTACGGCCATCATAAGTGCAGCCAAAGCCAAGACAAACACCAGAACACCAGGCCCGAAAATCCCCAGAGCGGCCGCCCAGCCCCTGTGGAGGTGATGTACGGTTCTCTGCGTTTATGAGACGTGAGTCATAGGGCTGTCAAACGATTAATCGTGATTAATCGCATCCAAAATAAAAGTTTGTGTTTACATAATATATGTGGGTGCACTGTTTATAATTATTTTATATATATAAATTAGGGCTGTGCAAAAATGAATTGCGATTAATCGCATCCAAAATAAAAGTCTGTGTTTACATAATATATTTGTGTGTGCTGTATATAATTATTTTGTATATATAAATACCTATGTATGCATGTATATATTTAAGAATTATTTGCGCTTAAATTCTATATATATATATATATAAATACATAATCTATATTGTATAAATATAAATATTTTATAAATGAATAACACATTTTCTTAAATATATACATGCATGCATAGGTATTTATATATAAAAAATAATTATATACAGCACACACAAATGTATTATGTAAACATAGACTTTTATTTTGGATGCGATTAATCGCAATTAATTTTTGCACAGCCCTAATATATTTAAGAAATATTTTCATGTATATAGATTTATATATAATTTAAATATATTAATTTTATATATAAATAATTTTTTTTTTCTTAAATATACAAGCATGTGTGTGTATTTATATATATATATATATATATATATATATATATATAAAATAATTATAAACAGTGCACCCACATATATTATATAAACACAAACTTTTATTTTGGATGCGATTAATCGCGATTAATCGTTCGACAGCCCTAGTGAGTAAAGTTGGGAATCGTTTGAATTTGAACGATTACTATTTCGATTCTGCTTATCGATTTCTTAATTTTGATTCTAATGCACTCTAAATAATGCTGGGTTGTTTCAACCCATGTTTGGGTCAAATATGGACGAACCCAACCACTGGGTTTAAAAATGTAAACCAAATGTTGGGTTTGTCCTCGTTTGACCCAAACATGGCTGTAGATATGCAAAACATTGAATCATGAATATCATGAACAAAACTTGCCTGTGGTTTAAAAATACCATAGAAAACCAACTAGCTTAACTAATATACATTTTTAAGTATAATTAAAGACAAATAAATAAAGTTAGCAATCGCAGCAAATACACACAACTGAACAAAGATAAGATTGAATTGGCTTTATGCACATTCCTGAACTTCAGCTAGCTCCTTGTTTCCTGTCCACCATTATTGGACAAACTTGATTAATTCAGGTGTGCCTGATTATTGTTGTTCAGACACACCTGGATTAATCAGTTTGTCCAATAATGGCTGACAGGAAACAAGGAGCTGGCTGAAGTTCAGGAAGTAGTGGGTGGAGCTTAACTTTATAAAAATATATACATATAGTTGCTAAAGTCATTCAGTCGAATATTCACTCTGTTGTTTGATTAGTGTTATTATAGAGTACTGTCACTTTAAGAGTTGTCCAATATAGTTACGCATGAAAACGCGTTGATCACAAAGGAATCGATGAGAAGAATCGAAATTTTAATTTTATAACCGATTCCTGACCTCAAGTATTCGATTCCCGACCCTGTGCATGAGGAACTAAAGGTGTGTGAGCGGTCAACTGTGTTCTCCTTTGGAAATAAAGGAGTCATTCAGAACGGGCCCAAGCTGAGTGACCAATCCTCGCAGAGCTCAGGTCACTTTGAGTTTCGCCTCGCGTTTCAGGACTTTGATGGAAACGCTCTACCTCTGAAGGCTCGAGTGCTCTGTGTCCCGGGATCAGCGCTCATCACACCGGCTCCGGACACACATCACACGGGTTCGGTTTCTGATGCTTCCCAGGTCAGACAGACCTCAGTACAGGCTCACTTCATTTTAAACCTGCCCTTTGATTAAGGGCAAATTGACTGTTACTGGTACAAAAATAATGCCGCAAAACTAATATGTAATAATTCAAGATCCCAAAGCAAATGCGTTGAGTTTCCATTTGTACATGTTTGATGCACTTTACAGATGAGAGAGATTGAATGCGGGCAGGTCTCTGCGCTAATCTGCTGTACGTGTGTGTTTTCTCTATATGAAATGTTAAATTAACAGAGTCAAAACACCTGTGTAATATTTGTATTTGTAAATAAGACTTTGAAATAAAGAATGAATACATTGTTACTCTGTTTGTAGATGTTATATGCGTCTCCTAGATTTAGTCTACTGCTGTTATCCTTTTTCAATTCTTCCAAAAAGTTATAATTTATTGGTGATTTAATGCCGGATAATATAATGAAGGTTAAAGTCCTCCTATAGTCAATAACTTTATCCCTTAAAAATCGTCTTTGATCACCAAAATACATATTTAAATGTTATTTCTTTGTTCATAGCTTAAAATAGTGCTTGTGGATGGCCAGTATTCTCCAAATAGTTATTTTTTCTCTTAATATTTCCAAAGTAATTTTTAAAGTTTCATTGCATCTGAAATTGCAAACTTCCTTACTATATTAGATTAAAAATTGGTGCATCCTAAATGGGTGTATCCCAATTCACTTACTTGTGCATTTTTCGATGCCATTTTGTAGAAAATATGGTGCAAGTATTCACACTGCAAATTGCAACAAGAAAAAGTGCACTTCAAAATACCCAATGTCAGATTTAACCATAAATTAGATTTTTCTTGCATATCCAAATTTTATAGATGGGTTTTTGAAAGTCTAGACAACATGAAGCATTGCTTGGTCACTGGTTGAGCTAAACTGGTATTATCTAATTGTGGAGTTAAATTTAACAGATATTCAACATAATTCATGTGTGAGAGTCCAACAGAAGGACAAAACCAGTCAAATATCCACTGATCTGAGAACTGAGTTCTACTCATATTTATCACCATTTTATAAACTACCGTGAATAAACTGATAATGTGTGAAGTGTCGAAGGTGTCTGAGTAAATCTTGGTATAAATTGCATCTAACAACTTGTTGCACTATGGCTGCCTATAAATAGCTGATTTTGTGAAGTTTCGTGGTGTTGGTAATAATACGCCAGCTGTGTGTTTGCTTATCTCCACTCTATCAAAGGCTTGTGGCAAATCTTTAAGGTCATGATGGGCAACAGACGTTGTTATGCTGTTGTTTGGTGGCCCTCGGTTGCACTCGAAGCCCCCCATCCCGACACCGGCACTCCCAGCTGGTGACCGTTGCTATGGTGATGCCTCAGTCCCGCTCAGGAATCCACATCCGAACAGTGGGATTCGGGATGGGGGAAGACGTCCCAGTGGGAAAGATCCTTATATAGGACAGAATGACGCCAGGACTCTTGGGAAAGGCAATAAACCGCTGCTGTCTGTCTGTCACTCGGGCCGTCGCTGGTGATCTGTCGTCAATGACATCATTATTCTGTGGGAAATGTAATGACGCTTAAAAGTCATGGCTTGAAAACAATACAATAGGACTTCTACACTGTAAAAAAATATATTCAAGATTTGTTATTACAACATTTGTTCTTTTGTCAAATCAACTTAAATAATTTATTTAGTTCAGATAACTTTTTGAGTTTCTGATGATTAAATCAATCTCCTTCAATGTATTCACTCACTTTTTCCAGTTCATTCAACTTAAAAATTTAAGTCAACCAGGTTACTTAATTTTTTAAGTTAAACCAACAATATTTTTTTTTACAGTGTAGAGACTTCCATTAGACCTCTCTGAACTCAAATTGTATTTAGTTTTGATTCATAATATGCGTAAATACAAGTAGGCCTACTTGCTTACGTCAAAACTAAAGCATGCCATTTATTTTGTGCCCAATATGTTTTGATTTTTAAAAAAAATGGCTGGTTTTCACCAGGTTTTCACTAATGTGGAAGGTAGTCAGACACAATGCATTGTGGGATACAGTATTACACCCTGTGTACTGTGCTGTATACTGCACTTTTTCATAGGTCATTACTAGCTATTGTTTTCAACATAAAATTAACATTTATTTGCCCAGTATAAGCCTAAGAATATTCTGTAGAAATAGAGTTCTGAATTATTTTTTTGCACCTCTTTTTTTGAGTCACTATTTAATCGAATTGCGATTTTAGACTTTTATTTACACACAAATATCCATTCATCTCTACCTCAATTATTCACTCACTCTCAAATTGTAGATAGATAGATAGATAGATAGATAGATAGATAGATAGATAGATAGATAGATAGATAGATAGATAGATAGATAGATAGATAGATAGATAGATAGATAGATAGATAGATGGTTACACTTTACTTTACGTTAAGGTAGGACTAGAGTCTGGTTAAGGGCTAAGTTGCATGTAGCCTATGCATCATTCTGTGATACATGTGGAATAACATTTACTTTTTTGAAACAACGGTTAAAAAGGCTTAAATGAGATCTTTTTTAACCTCGTTGCTACCTAAACATGTAGGATATAAACATTTTCTGAAATAATTTAAATTGATAAAATTAGAAACACCAGCGATTTCAAAGCGTGTTTTTGAGACTGTTCACTGCAGTTTTAAGCAGAAAATACTCAGCAATGCTGTCGACTTGCACATGGTTTGTTTTAAAGCATATTAAAAACACCGTATAGACACATAAACAACATTAAAAGCTAGATTTTTCACCACGGGGGACTTAAACATACAATACATATAGCTAGACAAAACTTTGAGTGAATGAATATCTGTTGCGCTAGGCCTACTTGTGCAGCTCAAAACCCAAATATGAAGGTACAGCGCCATCTACTGTCTGAAAATGAACAATACAAATAGTCTCGAATCGACCAGGGAGTCGACTCTCAACATGACTCTCAACTGTGGCTTCCAAGCTTTTGAACATTTACCACTGCTGTGCTGATGCAGGGAATGTGACGGATTTGTGAAAATATATTTGTACACCTGAACTACTGAATGTACTTGACGTTGGCAAAGACCTCGTTACAGAGTGCGAAAAAAACCTTTGAGTTTTCGAATCGATTCAAATGAATCAGTTAGTTCATGAGACCGAACGAATCATACGTCACCGCGCGACGTCACGCTCGCTCTTCTTCGCTGGTATGGAGGAGCGCTATAAATAGCGGCGCACTCTTCAGTTCGATCCCTCCTCACTCGCGATGTCTCAGTGGAAGAGAGTCAGAAAACACGGAGATGATGAAAACGTTAAAAGGCTACAAGAAGGTAAGCATTAATTTTTTGGCTTACAATTTGTAGAGTTCGGATAGTTTTACAGTTTATTCTGGCGTTTGACTAATGCTAGATCGTGCGCGCGCGGGTTTCAGCAGCACGTGGTCTCAGAAACACGTGGTCTGCGGTTTCCTCAACTTTAGCCGTGTGCAATTCAACAACTTTAAAACCGTGTTTTAGAAGTCGCAGATCTCCAGTGGAGCTTGCAGATGAAACTCATGTGTTGAAAACGCAATATTGATCATGTATGTTGGTCTTTTGTTATTTCAGGTGGCTGAGTGTGTCGTGTGCTGACCTCAGATGAAGATGGAGCATCTAATGTAAGTGTGTGTGTGTGTGTGTGTGGACCCAGCGGTAGTCAGCTGACAGGCCGCCCGTGCCTGAGCCAGTGTTACTCTGCTGGGAGAGAAAGGCTCTGCCGTTTGGTGCTGGTGCAGGTCTGGCTGTTTTAGTGAGTCCTGCGGGTCAGCACTGGCAGACCGGGCCCTCTGAGAGTGGACTGAGCTCATCACGTGACCCAGCCCTAGTCTGAGGGCCCACACTCCTCATGCACACGCGTGTGTGAGCTTCTCAGTCACACTCTTGATCCTGAGAGTAACTAATGCTGTTGTTACAGGGCTCAGGAGACCCCAGAATACCTGCTTCCTAATGGCCAGCTGTGTTGAGACGGGTAAGTGTTTAGTTTTGGCCGTTTAAAGTCGGCATGATATTAAAATTGCCCCTTTTCTTAACCCTCATGTTGTGCCGGATCACTTTCACTTAGAGGATTTTCCCATACCTGAAAATGCTAGTTAATGTTGATGAATTGGACTTAAATTTATTGATTAACTTGATCTCAAGTGACTGTCCTACAAAAATTGCTTGTGAATCTCTTTTGCTCTTTAAATGTGCATACAATCTGTAGATTTGACTGTATCAAAGCTGATTTGACACTGAAAATATTGCTTCTGAAAATTAGTTTTACAACACACACATTGGAAAATATGACCTGTCAGTATTCCAGGCTTTTTCACAGATGAACTTTAATCTCAGATCAATGAGGCCTACGATCAGTTTGAGAAGTACAGGAAAAACCTGTCCAAACTGGAAAAAAAAAAAAAACAAGTTGACAAATTTAATCTGATAATATATCGTAAGAGTGATGTATGCAAATTTTTCTTTTGAAGGCTGTTCATTTTTTACTGTAACCGACTGCCATTTTGGATGAAATAAAAGCATTTCTAAACAAATTCCTGATAAACATTTAAAGCACACTAGTGTGAAACTGGATTTTTAAAATATTTTATGTTAAATTGACCAATTTAATGTTTTGTTTTTCACTCAAAATAAGCTTGGATAAATAATTGGGGTGCACGATTCAGAAAATGTCATGATTCGATAAAGATTTTTAAGCTCAAGAATTGATTCAATCCATTTTTGACTCAAAAACGATTTTCAGGATGTAAATGTAGGCTAGTCTACTTTTTCCTATGTGATTGATTGCAGTAGACTTAAATTGTTGTATTTCTTTCCATTTAAATTGTATGTAGTTTGCTATTACTTTTGTCTATATACAAAAATAAAAACTTTTGCAACTAAGAAGTGACATGCCAAGCTTTGGCCATCTTCACGTTTAAAATAAAACTTAAATAAGCTTTTACATTTAGCTTTAAAGTGCTGTAGTCAGATCAAACGATCATGCTAAATGTGGTGTAAGGAGTATTTCAGCTGCCAGGTTGACTGTTAAAACGTGAACTTCAACCTTTTTCTCAGGATCGATATTGTCCTCCACCACTTTTTGAAACGGCACAGATGTAGCTAACATTAATAAATAAAAGGGTCACGGGTTTACCTCTTCCCGACATGCCAATTTGTCGCACTAGCCGTGTTTGACCATTTAGACCACTCGGACTTATTCCCGAGTCCACTCGAGTTCAATTCAAAATATTTTTCATGATTATTAATATATGTTAATTAAATATTTCTTTAAATTGATTGACACGCCCAGTGATTGGTGATTTTCTAGTGCGCAACTGCGCATGACAAATTGTAATAAAATTACTTTTAACACCACCTACTATGTGGCCTTTTTACCCTAAACTGATCATATTTTTTAAACTAAGTAAATTCAGTAAAAAAAATTAAAAAAGGATTTCTTTAAGTAAATAAAAGTAAATTAGGTAATCAACCCTCACTGGTCTCGGTCTCGACTCGGACTCGACCGTCTCTGGTCTCGGACTCGACTCTGACTCGACTCTCTCTGGTCTCGGTGTCGACTCGGACTCGAGTGAGGTGGTCTCGACTACAACACTGACGCTAGGGAAGTAAAACGGGTTGTGAATGTCAGCTTTTCCCTTCTCTGCAGGAAGGGATGGATGAACAGGAAGAGAGCGATGGTTGGATGAACACTGGTTGACGGCCCATCGAGATCAAGCACAGGTATAACCTTTATCTGCTCTTCAGAGTTGACCCAAGCTGATACCATGATGGCAGAAGCGCTCCTCTGCTGTCATGTCTGTAATCTTGGAAGAGCATCTGCAGGGTTGGCACTGATTTTTGTTGTGATGGTCTACAAAAATCTGACAAAGAAGCCTGCTACACTTCTCTTAATGTACTATTAATCTCGTAGTGTGTGTTTAACACTGCTTTCTTTTTGTTGTAGGAAAGATGTGTGTGAAGATTTAAAGGAATTAAGATCTGGTCATTTTTTCAACTTTAAATGATCAGTGCTTTTTAACACGTTAACTGTATTTGTATGTTCAGCATATTAAATGTTAAACTGAAGCGACGTTCTTGATGTAAAAAAGATGAATTTGGAATAAAGGCTGAAGTGACTGTTACTCTTTGTAAGTGTTTATCTTGTAATCAGTTTGTCAATGTCTTTGGTAGGATAGTTACTGTATATACCTAAAAATAAGACTACCTCCCCATTTTCCAGACTTATTTTTGTGTAAAAAAAAAATCATTTTTTTCAATATTTCAAATTAATTTTTTGAGGTGTTTGAAATTCCTTGCACCACCTGTGCCTCGTGTAGAGGCCCGCTTGTTGGCGGAGAACGGCACTTCCTATGCGTTTCCTGCTTGGACGGAGGCCGCACTCTCCAAGGGCTGCTGCCCTGAGTGCGACGGGATGGATTTAAAGGGATACTCCACTTTCTTTGGAAATGGGCTCATTTTACAACTCCCCCAGAGTTAAAGTGTTGAGTTTTACCGTTCTTGAATCCATTCAGCTGATCTGCGGTTCTGGCGGTACCACTTTTAGCGTAACTTAGCATAATCATTGAAGAAGTGCACAAGACCATTAGCATTTCTCAACAAAAAAAAAAAGACCAAAGTGTTTTGATATTTTGTCCAGTGCGTATACGGTACAGGAGCAGCACGCGCTATCACATATGCTGTGTTTGCAGTGCGTAACTGATCCGCGGCTGAACCACAAACACATAGGGCTACTCACTATTTTTATTTCAAATTCAGAAGTTATGCAGCAACTTAATAAAAAAAAAAGTTGTCAGCATTGCGATTTTCTTTGTACACTTTTACAAACTTGACTGGAAATATGCATGTTTAAACACAATATAAATAAGGAGGGCTATAATTCCATGCATTACTTCTATATAGACCATTTCACAAGATGTAAACAACACTGGTCCAGAAGCACTTCCTGTTTCAGTTTTTTAACACTACAAAAAAGCTGGGATAAAATACAACCAACAGAACATATAAAACTGAATCAAAAAGTTAAACAAACATCTTTAAGATGTTTCTTTACATGTGAAATAAAGAAAACAGTTACAAACTGAAACAGGAAGTGCTTCTGGACCAGTCTTGTTTACATCTTGTGAAATGGTCTATATATTAAGTTTCTCAAGCAAGTGACCAAATAACCATGTAGGCTACTTATATTAAAATCGAAAACATTTTAAATTAAAACTGAAAATTAACAAACAGCCAACTCTCATGCCTTTTCTTTTACATTCAAATGTTGTCACAAAGAACTTGTTTTTCCACCTCCACGAATGAGACGAGTGTTGCTCGTCCTTGTTGAGGTAAATTATAGTTCCCTTTCGAGGGAACTCTACACTGCGTCGAGAATCGACACTGGGGATGCTCCCTAAGCGTGCGCCTCTGAAGTATGAATGAAACTATACCAATCCTGATTGGCGTTGTGTCATGACGTAACGTGACGGCATAACTGGAAGCATAAAAGTGACGCTGACACAACACATACCAGCTTTCGCTCTTCAGCGCTCTGTGTTGAAACTGTTTGTCTTATTTGGTGTTGTATTGTCACTCAGATCATATGGCCAGCGAGTAATTTAAAAGATGTGTGCATCCCTGCCCTCGTTATATCACGGGTGGGGACACACATGCTTTGTGTGTGAATTGTTTGGGAGTGCAGCATGCGCGAGCAGCTCTCGAGGGAGCTGCTTGTGCAAGACTGTGAAGCACTACCCATGAGAGTGCTGCTGCTCCCGGCTGGCGTGCTTTGACGAGCACGGTAAGGCTTGTGTTCCCCATGCTTCTGGTCCCGCGTCCGTTGAGACGGATGATTTCGCAGCGGGATCTTGCAGATGTGAATGAGACTGCTGAGGCACTTTCTCATTCTTCATCTGAGGATCCCGTAGCCCCTGAGAGTGGTGCAGAAGCCCGCATCGCGGCTTGTTCTGCCCACGATCAGGTCCCCATGCTTGAGTTCTCTGCTTCCGAGGAAGTAGACGTGCTCAGCATTGATGCGGATGACCGTGAGTTAGGCGCGCCAGATCACGGCCAAGGTTGTGAGGAGCTGGTAGAGGTTGTGACTCGTGCCGTCATCTGATGAGCAGGGAACGCAAGTGAAAAGCAAACTTGATTAGCGTCAAGGTCACAGTCTCAGCGCCGGGGTTTGCCGTTTTTCCCCGATCTCCACAAAGAGATCTCGAGATCATGGGATAATCCACATTCGTCCCGTGTCTCCAATCCCAGTGTGGTTGATTACAGTAATGTTATGGGGGCACAGGACATGGGCAATGGGAAGATGCCTAAAGTGGAGGAAGATCTAGCGGGTTACCTCTCCCCTAAGTCGGCGTCTTCCCTAAAGACCCCAACGCTGCCTAGTAAGCCCTGCAGAGATACATCTGCACTAATAGACGAATCCGCTGAAACTACCGGAAGTAAACGGGGCGCCATTACTGAGCTGTTGCTGGGTAGCGTTGCGCCATTGCCTCCTATTGTTTTAGTTGCAACTTACGTCCACTGGAATAAACAGCCCGCGATTTACGACTGTCACTAACGTTACAACGTTAGCCCTTGTATAATGTCGAGTGGGTAAACAGTTTCCGTTATAAATTGTTTCAATGGTGGCAGTAAAATTCAGATTTTGAAGAGAAAACATTGTGAATACCCCGGGTCGACTGCCCCTGTCTGGTGCCGTACGGTTTACAGATTTCCTGGGCAAGTACAAGACGTGGACATTCGCGTATAATAACAATTATTTAATGACATGAGTAAAAAAAATATAATAAATATGTGATATAGTGATCAGCAAAATCTCCTCTCTTGTTATTTTTTCTATTCAATATGGTCATTAAATGGCTTTCCTGAGCTGAATGTAACGTTATGTGACATAACTGTTTTCCTGCTGTTATATTGACCTCTTTCCATGGTTTAAAAACACTAATTGGTCGATATTATGTATAGTTTCTAGCTGTAACGTTACCTTACCCTTGCCTGTTGCAATGTGAAAATGAGATAAATAATGGACACAAATGAAAAACATGAATTTGTTTATTTGATTTCATTCATTCATTTATTTATTGTTGCCAAATGGACAGATCTTTTTATAGTTTCCTCGTTAGCAAACGTTAGCCTAGCTAGCTTGCCAAGCTATTTTCATAAATAACGTTAATCTGTAAGATCGTTTGTACCTTCATCTGTGACTGGAGGCCACTGCAGTCACAGATCAAACCAACAAGTCATTCTGCCTGGCTGTAGCTGACATCGAGGGTGAGTTCGCGTTATCACCGAGGTTTGTTTACATACCGGTGCATATGTCTATATGCCTGTGTAACAGCTCAGTAATGGCGTCGCCACAAGATGGCAGCCTACACAGAACGCTCGTCGGATTCGTCTATAGGCAAGGCTTACATAGCGGCAGGTCAGGCTGGTTCATGACTGCATTCAATGGCTATTTTGCAGGCATACCAGGTCAATCTCCTGAAAGATTTAGACGAGGGGGAGGGGCCAACTCCTGAAGATATTGCAGAGTTGTGCAAAGCCACAGATCTGTCTCTCCAGGCCACAAAAGAGACTGCCCGTGCTATTGGCCGCTCTATGGCAGCAATGGTGGCCACGGAGAGGCATCTGTGGCTAAATCTATCTGGTATTAAAGAGAAAGATAGAACTTTTCTGCTGAATGCGCCGCTTTCGCCTTCTGGCCTGTTCGGGGACGCCGTTACATCGGTCGTCGACAGGTTTCAGGAGGCAAAGAAACAATCTCCGGCGTTCCAGCAGTACCTCCCCCGTAAGGCAAAGTCTAAATCGAGTAGGGTGGGGCCAAGCCAGCTCCTCACACTGATCAGAGCAGAGAGAGAGCGTTTTCTCTAGAGCCCCCCCTCCGGGGGCTTGGCAACAGAGGACACGCTCTCAGCCGAAGCCCTCCAGCCAGAGAGGCGACCTAAGGGATGTCATTAAGGCTAGGAGGGCTTTGGGGAAGAGGTCCTAGCCAGAGTTGTAGGACCTCTGAGGGCGGTCCCCTCCGCTGCAGGACAACCGAGGTTGCCCCTTTAACAATAAAGGAAACATGCACACATCACTGCAGTGCACGATATAAAACAACCAAACAAAACATAGCCTACTTCAGCGAAAGTACAGCTGCAACTCAGTTACCCAATCTCAGCTCTCAATCCCCAAACAGGATTGATAAAAGTTACTATAAAACAAGAGAAGAGGTTACCACATCAAATACACTTGTGTTTTTATTGCATCAAACTCATAAACGATCGATCTTAGTGTATACTTAAAATAATCAGCCTAAAAGAAAAAGATTTAGCAAAGTTGAGCACCGTCAAAGCACAGTCACTCCACACAAACTAACCACACCACTAAAAACATACCTATATGAAAGGGTACAGAGACTGCACATTGAGCACATTGAGCGCAACAACCACACGACAGAACTGCAGAAAAGCCACCACCTGTTGCTGTAAGAAGCCTTTATACGGTCTTTATGCAGCATGATAGAACTAATGGTGCGTTCTATTATAGCCAACGAAGCAACTCGGACCTCGGATTTGACGTCACGTCCACACTTCAAGCGTTTTATTTGTTTTGCGCGTCCGAGTCGGAGAAAAAAAATGGACGCCACCCGGAAAGCTGTTATAATGGTAGCTGGCCGAGTACCAGGCACTTACATTAAAAACTTTTAAATATTATGACTACACCTTATCAAAACGCAGCCATTTGAACTTGAAAATGTTCACTTTATTAATGTTTTTAATGTTAATCTTCTGTTAGCAACGCCAGTAATTGCACTCACAACAACCGATTCCCATACCTACAGGGGACGCAGTAATACGAGTGATTATAACCGTCATTTAAAATACCAAAGCAGTTCAAAAACAATGAAACAATTTATTCTTACAAGTCACAGGGCGCAGCCATCTTGAATTCCGAAACGGAATTCTTGCTCGGTGGTCTCACAGTTGTCTGACGTCCGAGAGGAGAAATCCGATGAAAGGGGGCATGTTGCTAGGCAACGTCTGTCGTCCGATTCGGATCTCCGAGACGGATGAATAATAGAACGCACCATAACCACTTACACCTGAAACTGATTGCTAGCCAGTCTCCTCCCACACTTACATCAGACAGTCCCATTTTAAAACACTCAGAAGAGTGAAACTGACTATTACTGTATTTATTTTTAAGTCATTATGTAATAATTCATGTAATCCATAGGCCTACACATATTAAAATAATAAAAAATCAGAAAATCGAGTATTAAAATATATTTTGGCCTCTTTCAGCACCCATACCATATTAGACGCGCATTCTTAAAATATGTGCGGCTGGCTTGACCGTGTATTTTCAACGTGCGGCCCACTTGACCACAGTAAATAAACCGGAGAAGATGTGAATGAAATGATGATTTCTATTCAAAATAATGAATGTTACAGATTAATTATTGTGCACATAAATTAAGAAATTAATGTCACTGCAAGCCGGTTTTATTATAAACAGTGGTCGAATATCGAAGCTGGAGTCTTCAGTCTTTCTAATGATGCCCAGTTGTTCCAGATCAAGTAATTGATCAATGAGACCCTTTGATTACAGTGTTATTATTAAAGCATAATTTGCGAAACTGTATTAATCTAGAAGTAGATTTAACTGTGATTTTCTGCTGTAATAAACAGTTTAACTGGTAAGATCCTCAGAGGAGTTGTGCGGCCATTACATAATAATGGAAAGACAGTTTCTGTGAAGGATGTCCTGAATGTGCGTAAATGTGTGTTAGTTACAGGATCAGAGAATGACACTGTTTCTCTGTCATAGTCCAGCTGAACTCTCACACGCTGGAGCTTCTGTTCAACAGTGAAGACAGTGCCGCGTTTCTCTGGGGATAGTGAGCCGTATTTGCTGTTCTTGTACCACACACACCAGACATTAGAGTTAAAGCAATCCTTTCCTTTCCTTTGGTTTGATGCTGTGGTTATTCCAAGAGCCCAGTATGTATTGTCTCCAACCTCCACATCCCAGCGGTGTGTTCCTGAGTTAAAGCCCTCAGATCCCAGGACACATGGACACCAGTCAAACCTCTCTGGATTATCAGGAAATGTTTTATCTTCATCACTGACCGACACACTGGTCAGATCAGCAGAGAGTGTGAGACGAGGATCTGCTGTGTTTGGATCCAGAGTCAACGGAGCTGCAGAGAGAATAACATCAGATTACATTTTTCTTTTGTTGAAATAAATCATAAATCATGCTATCATAACAACGGTCTCTCAGTTACTGTCAGAATGGATTGAGGCTCCAGGTTTAATATCAGTATTTAATAAACACTGTTGTATCCTAATAGATAAGATCACGAGGAATAGACTTTTATTATGAGTTTGCTGTATGATCTTATGATTTACTTTAAAACAGTTCAGATTCAGTGATTTTTAATATATATTATATAGATTTTGTGTGTTTATATCTGAACTATCTTCTGCTGTGTGTCAAATCTGCGAGACTCACTGTGTTGGACAGTTTCCAGCATCTTCTTCCCGACTCTGAACGGCAGGTTACCCAGATAACGCGACACATGAATCAAAGCTCCAGAACTCATCCGTGGATCCGGCTGTGAGATCTGGACTCTGAGGAACATTCAGGAGTCAGTGAATTTGCAGTGAATTTGAGTTCAGATCCACTGAGAGAAGAGATACGAGCAGCTCACTTACCTTTCCATCCAGACTTTATACTTCTGGAAAATATAGAGATGGAAAACATTTTAATATCTTATCAAACACTCTCACTGTCAATGAGTCTCTCTATACAAGTTGTTTTATGCACAGAGAATGAAGCCAGATTGATTTGTCACCTTTAGAAACGAGACGTCATTGTCTTTCATCATCTCCTCCATGTCTCTGAGTGTGTGTGAAAGAGCTGAGATGTGTGTGTTCATCTCCTCCAGCTTCTCCTTCATCCTCTGCTTCTTCTGCTCCTCTTCCTCCCTCAGTGCAGTGATTGTAGCTTCTTCTTCGTCTCTGAGAAACTGATGAAGCTTCTCAAACTCTTCTTTAATCTGACGCTCTGTGTGCTCAGCTTGAGACTGAAATCACATCACATTCACTTCAGTCATCTCAGTCAACACAAATCTCAGATACACGACATATAACAAACAGATCCAGAAGCAGAAGCTGCTTGTCATTTACAGAAATAATCAACTGGAATTCACTATATTAAATATATCAGGTCATAGCGGTATAAACTGATCCTAGAGCTGTAATGAAAATGAATCTTGATTCTGTTTCCTCACATTGATGTGTTTTGCTGTTTTCTCAAACTCTCCTTTCTTTTCTTCATTGTGTTGAAGTTTCTGTTGTAAGGACTTCAGTGCTGTATTGAGCTCCTCCTAGAATTGAACAAAAATACATTAAACACCAGATTACAGTGAAGAGAAGAAAATACAGTGATATGATCATACAATTCTGTGCAAAAGTATTCACCCCCACCCTGATTTCTTCTGTTTTTGTGTAAATCTCATACTAAATTGATTCAGAAATTAAATCTTACCATAAAACAAAGGCAACCTGAGTGAACACAAAGTACAGTTTGTAAATAATAATCTTATTTACTGAAGCTAAACAGTTATCCAATACTAACTGGGCCTGCGTGATAATGTATTTGCCCCATAGTTACTAATTCCTCAAATCTATGAAACTGTATTTATAATGTTGTTCAGCTGAACTAAACACAACCAGTCCTGATCACTGCAGATGTTCAATCAAATAAACTCTTAAATAGGACTTTTTCAACAGCATGAAGTTGGTTAAAAGATCTTAAACAGTAACACACTATGACAAAGGTGAAAGAAACTCCAGGAATAATGATGAAGACAGTGATTGACATACATCCGTCTGTGATGGATTACAAAGCTTTTCCAAAGGCTCTTGGACTCAAAGATCCACAGCGAGAGCCGTTATATCCAAAAACTCGCACAGAAAACCTTCCCAGAAGTGGCTCAAAGTCACCAAAGGCCAAGAACAACAACGTAGAAAATTTTTTTTTCTACTTTCTATCAGAAAATGCTGAAGCACAATATCCCATCATTAGTCTGTAAACTGAAGCTCAAGCAACAAGACAATGATTCAGAAAATAGTGAGTAAATCCACTTCTGAACGGCTCAAAAAAGCACAATTACAGTTTAGGAGTGACCTTGTCAAAGACCTGAAACCAATTGAGAAGATGTGGCAGGACCTTAAACAGGCAGTTCATGCTTGAAAACCCCCAATGAAACTAAAGTTGTCTGCTCAATTGTACTTTTTATTTGCAAAATAATGAAAAAGGCCCCACTATTTAATATTAGACACAAAACCAAAAGAAATCAGGACGGGTAAATACTTTTACAACACAGCACGCTGAATTAGAGACGGTAAAAGTGAGTGGGTCCAATATCATTGGTCTTAAAAAGTGGGTGGGTCTTGTACAAACCCATTTACAATGGTTCCGACGCCCATGTGTATAAAAAATGTCCGATGTTAGAGGAGTCAGAGCAATATGCTTTCAAATGCAAGTCGTACTGAACCCAAACTTTTGAACGGTAAGTTTGGGTTCAGTACGACTTATATTTGAAAGCATATATGACTCCTCTAACGTCTGACATTTTTTATTTTTTGAACAAGATAGCAAAGCCGCGCGCATATGATTGAGGATGTTTAGAGAGCGTGAAGGCTACACATATGCACCCTTTCCTGTGTATATTTTCAGAATGAAGGACTCAGATGGACTCAAATTCTTAGGATCCTCGACATTGTAACAGTCCTTCGATGGATGTCCATGACGTAGCATCCTCGAAATTACGCCTTCCAAGGATCCTTCCTTGACAATGAGAAACAGCTTATAGGCCTATGTCACACTTCCTGCTTCCTGAACGCGGAGTAGGGAGACAGAACTTCCGGTCAACAGTATTTCTCCATAAGGATTTAGATCATCAGCCATAATGTCTAAACCATCCGAGGTAGACTGACCATGAGCTATGAGATTGTGAAGCGAAGATTTTTGCTCTTGTAGAAGCTACATTCGTATGAGATCAACCTTGTTTTAAGAAAAACGTGTTTTATCCATGATCTTATAAAGAAAAAAAAAACTACACTACCCACAATCCTAAGCGTAGCAGAAACATCTGCTGGTTGGTCCAACTCGCTGTTACCATAGAAACGTTTACCTTAACGGTGAACGGCTAGAGCTATAACAACAATGGCTGGCTACACCCGCAGCTGTTGTTGTAGTGTACCGGGTTGCTCTGCATCAGGACGTAGACAGCCATACCTCAGCTTTCACGCTTTCCCGAAGGGCGAAACACTCCGCAAGTCTTGGGTTAGGTTAATTAGGAGGGATGAGGGGCCTTCTTTTAATATTCTCCGGGGCAGCACTTTTTTTTGCAGTTTGCATTACGAATAGGAGAGCATCTTCGTCTTATAGACTTAAACCCAATACGATACCAACCCGGTTTCCCTGGAATAACTGGGGCAATAATAAGCCCCGTCGTCGCTCAGTTTTTGACTGTGTTAACACACGCCTATGAGTAGCGGAGGGCGTTCAGGCTGGTGCTGAGTCTGAGGTGGAGGAGGACGAACCTGCCTCAGGACACAAGTATACCCACGTGGATGTGGACGCTGATATGTATGTAGTGGATGCTGCTTGTGATATGTGACTTCAGTCAGGTTAGGTTGCGGAGAGATTTGGTCCAGCGGTATCTATCGGACTCCACCATTGTAAAAAGCTAACCGGAAGAGCCGTATCCCTACTAAAAGACCAACGCATTCTCACCCCAAGGCGTCACCTTTGACCATGCTTCAATATTTGACGTTTTAGGCGCCCTTTAGCGTCACTTACATGACGCGATCCTACGGCGTCATCTAACTGACGCTAAAGGAAAGCGTCAGTTAGAGGACGCGGTTAGGTTTAGGTGTGGGGTGGGGGTAGGGTACACGCGATCCTTGGGCGTCATCTAACTGACGCTAAAGGGCGCCTAAAGCGTCAGATATTGAAGCATGTCCAAATGCTTCCCAAGGCGTCAGTTAGGTGACGCCTTGGGGGTGAGAATGGGCTGAAAAGACGTACTTCAGGTCAATTTTTTCGTGACATAGGCCTATTGATTCTGAAGGCCACAAGGCAGATTTCTTAGCCCATGGCAACACATGACGGCAGAAATATAACTGGATAAAAGCTCTAACATAAACACACTACTGGAAGCAGAGGAAACAAGAGAAAAGCTATGAAATAAGAGAATGGACTATTGGGAATAATTTATGGATATAAAAAGTGTACGTCAGTGATTCTGATAATGTTTAGCCAGCAGAGAAGGCCTTGCTAACCCTGTACGGCCCACCACTGATGTTTATGATTAATCATTGTTCTTTACATGTGAAACAAGACACATGTGTCTTACCTTATATGATGAAACCACTTCACTGATGGGTCTGAATTTATGATTGTCATGTTTTTGTGAATTAATACACACTATACACACAGGCTGTTTGTCCTCCAGACAGAAGAGTTTGAGTTTCTCACTGTGTAAACTGCAGATCTCCTCAGATCCTGATGAACGTTTCTCATTTCTCTCCTTCAGGAACGACTCACACAAGTTTTTTAATGTGAGATTAACTGGAGGTTCATCTTTTGAGGATCTTCTCCTGCAGACAGGACACTCCTGAGTTTCCTTAGTTCTCCAGAACTGTTGAAGACACTCTTTACAAATACTGTGACTACATGACAGAAAAACAGGAACCTTGAAGATTTCATAGCAAACAGGACAAATATAATCATCTTCAGCTGCTGAAGCCATTTTCACCGTTTGAGTCTCGCAAACTAAACTTTACTTTCACTTTCTGAACGACGGTTTTCAAAAATGAATCACAATGAGAATCAAAGATCTGCTGTTTGTTCAGAAATGAACATCACAAAAATCCTTCTGTAAAGTTTTTCTCTTTGTTCTTCATTGATTGCTTTTTCTTTATTGCTTTTGTTGAGACAAAGTCAGTGTGACCGAAAGGAGAAATAACAAGTCAGTCTCTTCCTGGTGAGTGTTGTAAGAAGGAGTTTCTGATCACCTTTGGGTGTGTACAAACAGGTCAAACAGGAACGTCAGGATTTCTTCAAGTAAAATGTATTACTAATGGACCTGCATTGAAATGTTACAAAAATAATGTTGTAAAACTTACAATACAATTAAAATACAAAACTATTAATTATAAACAACCTCAAAATGCTTATACATGTTTTATATATTGGTCTTTATTCGTCAGAGTTTTTCCAGGGTCTATCATGATGAAATTAAATTAAAAAAATGTATTTATGTAGCACAACAAAAACAACAGTAGTTGGCCATTGTGCTGTACAACAGAATACGCATCTAAAAAAAAAAAAAGCAAATGGAGTTTAGATCAAAACACCAATCAGAAAATTCAACATTGCTCAAACCTTTGTCCGTGTAATGGGCAGGAATAAAGATCTGAGCGACTTTGACAAGGGCCAGATTGTTATGGCAAGGCGACTGGCTCAGAGTATCTCTGAAACTCAAGGCTTGTGTGTCGCTCCCGTCAGCAGTGGTGAGGATTTAACAGTGTCTGAGGAGGGACGAACACACACCGGCGACAAGGTGTTGGACACCAAGACTCATCAATGGACGAGGGCAATGAAGTCTATCCCGTCTGGTCCGAGCCAACAGAAGGTCTAGTGTGGCATAAGTCACCATTGGTTCTGCAAAGGGAATAATTGTTTAAGGTCTGGTGTTGTCCAGACAAATATGGGTGAGGAACAGACAAGTAAAGTTTGAGTCTTCCTGTGTCCACCACAGCGTGACACAGAACAGTCAGGGGTCAGAGGCAAAAAGATATCCAGGGAACAAGCAGGGAATCCAAAAACCAGGGAACCAGGGAGAAACGCTCAGAAATGCAGTGTGACAACATACAAGACTTCGCAGTGAGTGAATGAATGAACATGGTATATTCAGATTCAGATTTCAGATTCCTTTATTTGTCATTTTCATGGTGTACATAAAAACGAAATTGTGTTTCACACATACACTATTCAGTAATTCAGTGCACAATTTAAATATAAGTATAAGAATACTATAATACATTAAAAAGATTAAAAAAATTTAATAAAATAAATAAAAATGAAAAATAATAAATAAATATATAGTTCAAATCATGTTCTCTGGTTAAGAAGTCTAATAGCTGAGGGAAAGAAACTGTTTAATAGCCTACTAGTTCTTGCCCTGATACTTCTGTATCTTTTACCAGACTGAAGGAGTATGAACGTGGCACATGAGAAATGAGTAAAGTCCTCAATGATGCGATTTGCTCAGTACACACAACGCTCTCTGTAAATGTCCTCAATATGGCAGTGACACACCAATGATTTTTTCAGCAGTTCTCACAATCCTGTTAAGCTTATATCTCTCCTCTGCCGTACTGTTCCCAAACCAGCAAGAGATACAGTATGTGAGAATGCTCTCGATGGTGCCTCTATAAAACATGGTCACGGCTGGAGTATATACAGACAGACTAACAGAATGAGACACAGGTGAATGCAATCAGAGAATGAGGTACAGGTGAATGTGATCAGCGACGATGAGTCCGGGCAGTGAGTTCTGGGAAATGTAGTTGTGAGTGAAACATGAACATCTGGTGTGGAGTGGGCACTCCACCTGGTGACCGTTACAGTTACTGTGAAGAAGAAAAAATATAAAACGTTTAAATATCGATCTGCACATGTGAGGGACATTGGTTTTGCTAACCTTTGCTCGCTCCTTTTAAATTTTCTTGAGTAAAACCGAAAAAAAAAAAAAAAACGGAAGCGATGTGATCTGTTTTACAGAATGCGGAAGTAAGTTGTGCATAGAGCCTATTACTTTATCTTCCGAGTCTTTCGTTCATTTGACACGTGACAGACAGAATGAACGGATCAAACCCTGCATCAGATACAAACCTCTTGCAGAGGCAGTGATCAGTAGCCTGACTACGTCAGACTTCCTACTTCCGCTAATTTCATTTCGCTCCTGTAGTGAGTCTGAGATAGCGGCCTATCTTTCAGTTTTCCATCGGCCTGAAAACAGCCGGCCAATCAACGAACAGAGGGCGGGCTGAGAGCCGTGACGTAGACACTAAGCGGCGAGTGTACATTGAGGGTTAGAGAAATCGAAAACCGAAATAACCGCAGAAATGGGAAACAAGACACGGGATGCAATTCGCTCTGTTATGGAGAACATTCCGGGGTTTTTCAAACTGAAGCAAAGGTCGTTTACAGCCATGTTCACTCCGGTATTTCGCTCGCATCATCATCAGTGTTTACAGCTAGGACCAGCTAGAACGCCAGTTACGGCCATGACAAGAAAGTCGGTCTCCTCGGCTGTGAACGCTCCTGGCGTGCTCTTATTATCATATTATTATTATCATAATAATAATCCACCATATTTCGTTTCGACATCCTGCTGCATTAGTCCCAGATATGTGATTCATGAACGAGCTGTTCATTGTGTATGTCACGTGACAAATGAACGTAAGACTCGGAAGGTAAAGTGATTATTTATGTTCCCAAATAATTTTTTACTGCATTATGATTTCTTAATTCAGAATATGATCAACATTGCGTAGGTCAGGTGGATGTGATCGGGGAATTTGGCTGTTAAAATTATAACATTAAGCCACTTAAATAAACGGAATGACTCAGAAAATCAGTAAAATGAACTTCCTATTCATGACTCGTGAGAGCGGGGCATGCGGATGTTGCGGGACGGCCGCAACTCAGTAATCAACGCATTCTCATCCTTTAACGTCATATAGAGCGCTATATGACAAAACGGCGCTATACTACGCTAAAGGCACCCGTTATCGTTAATATAACACGTGCTGTGAGGGCTAAGTTTAGGTGTGGGGTAGGGTGTACGTGTCATATTCACGCTAAAGGATTTATAACGTCTTGGGTTCGCGTGTTATATTAACGATAATGGGTGCCATGTGCGTAGTATAGCGCCGTTTTGTCATATAGCGCTCTATATGACGTTAAAGGATGAGAACGGGCTGCAGTAATTCATATAAATAACCTAGTTTGTGAATTGTTCATTCCCGGTTGGCACACATTTTGCAGCCCTTACAAAAGCGCCGCTCCCTGTTTACAGTGGAAGTTCGATCATAGATTTGAGTTCGATGCGTAATGTCTCGATGCGGCCGTTTCGGCGCATAACATACGTCATAAATAAACTTATCTGATTGGCTTACGAGTAACCAATGATTTTAAACTTCAGAGAAGCGCCCCCTTGCGAGAGAGAAAACACTTCTCTATTATGCCATTCCAGACTCTGTCTACGAAGCAAAGTGAAGTAGCAGAGTCTGGTATTACCAGGCTAAGTGATCAGGCCAAACTGCCACTGTGGTGTATATAACAGGCCTAATTTGTGAAACTTGTGTGTTGTGGTTTTCCTGGGAGGTGGAGTAACTATTATGTGTCCCTTTGGTTTTGAGATTTCTTATTGTTTAGATTTAGTTTTACATGTTTTTTATTTGTTATTTAATCACCTCTATCTTTATTTGATTTTTTATAGTGCAATCATTAAATTAATTGTACATTTTGAAAAAAAGAAGAAGAAAAACGTTTCCATTCTATTTTTTGTTGTTCTTGTTGCATAAATCAGGGTTTATACTGAGTAAACAAGGACTGACATTTTTTAAAGGTTCTCTAAGCGATCCTGGGTGTTGACGTTCGGAATATTTTCAAACAAATCGGAGGCTAGCTAGACCCTCCCTCCTCCTCCGCATCTCATCTCCTCCCCCTCCCTTCCGTGCTTCCTGCGTCGGCGTAAAAGTTGTCAATACTCTATAAATGAACATTCTAATTCATAATAAACAGTTGATGAAAACACTCATTTACATAAAATGTCGCTCTACTTATAATTTTATTGATCATTTACAATACAGATGGAACGCAAGCTGTTAAAAACAGATGTTGTATCCACCAAAGTTAACGCTGACTGCATAGTTCTAGCTAATTATATCCTTGTGTGGGTTTGGCGAACATAAGCGTCAATTTAGAAGAAAAAAAACAATTTAACGTTACCCACCTGTCCGGCAAAAACAGAGCAACCTGAATGTCGGACTGGAAGCCCTTCTGCCGCCGGAGTTCTCGCCATCGTTCAAAAGCTTTGCTACCGATGTAAATTCAGAACTTCGCACGTTCTTTATCCGACTCCTTCTTCTTTTTAATTTTTTTTCTTCAGAACGACGTCTCTTTGGTCGTGTGTCGGACATTTTTCAAACTTCCCTCTGATGCTTCTCTCTCCTTCACACACACACACCCTTCATGTGCACGCGCACTAACCCCCCAGACCCACCCTCAAATACTTCTTGCCAGTGATTGGCTGGAACACTGTTTGTTAGGTTTCGTGGTCCGGGTGAGACATGATTGTTTTTGTTGCCGTTTGTGGAGCCTGTGGTGTCTACAGAGACCGCGTTTTTTTACAGTGTGTTTAGGGGACAGGCAGTTATAGCCGATAGTGAGGAGACGTTTGATGTATGTGACAAAAAATGTTTTGGCCCCACATCGCTTAGAGAACCTTTAAATTAGGGTTAGGGTTACCAAAAAAATTCACCACGCGCACTGAAATTTTACAGTCTCACTCCAGCTAAAGTCCCAAAGTTGGCAACCCTGATGAAACACAGAAGGTAATTCTGGCCAATTTAAGTAAAGAAGATGGTTGCTCTTTATGAACCATGCAGGTTTTTTTCATACGGGTATGCTTTTCGCAAAAGCATCACTCATGTGCATACACGTGTTAGCTTAGCTAATTAACATCAGTACACGTGAGCATACTTAATACGTACAAATAAATCTGTTCAACACAGATGTATTATCAGCTCTTCAGACAATACTCACTCACTTTCATGAATATTTTTTTTCCTCCATATATAGCCAACAGGGAACATCATATGTAGTTGTTCAGACTTGGGTTGTCTCACTGATGAATCGGGCGGAGATAAACCCGGATTCTCCGCATCATCCTCTGTGCCAATCAGATAAGATCTCAGGACTGACGACACCACAGATACCTGCATGTTCTCAAACGGCATGAAACATTTTCAGTTTCTTTTACCACATGGATCTTGGTATCACAATCCTTTGTCCTCTTAAATGAGGTCTCCCACTATGGAAAAATGCCCCTGTTCTTGCCAATAAGCAAAGTCCTTTCAGGCAAGTCATGCCACTCGGCCGCCATCTTGGCAGCTATTTCGGACTTGACAAGACCAGGCTCTCTCTAAATGAATGGGCAGAAAGTCAGAACTGCACTTTCACTGGTCACCGGGACATAAAAACTGCATGTATAGAAACAGCAGTAAAATACAATAAAAATCGCTGAAAAACTTTGATGACTTTGCCCCAAAATAAGGTTTATAACGCCGTTTTCCCACAGGTTACCCAGATAGCAAACTGACATTGAATCAACGTGGAAATATGACATCGAAACAACGTTGATCTGACATTGTTTTGCTCATCGAATTAACGTTGAACCAACGTCAGATGCGTCATTCTTTCAAAACTAACGGAAAATCAACTTGAAATCAACGCGTTGTTTCAACGTTATGAAAGCAAACCAATTTTTGATTTTCATTTAGCTTTGAAGAATGCCGCGTCTGACGTTGGTTCAACGTTAATTCGATGAGCAAAATCAACGTTGTTTCAATGTCATGAGAGACGTCGTTTTCACGTTGATTCAATGTCAGTTTGCTGTCTGGGTATACTTTTACTGCGCATGCGCAAGGGTTCTCTCGCTCTCTGTCGCACACGCGCTGCACAATGCTCTTGCTCGCTCGCTCTAGATTATGGGAGATTTTAACTAATTTGCGGGCATCAGCGAGGCTCTATCAATCTGCGGGAGACACCCGGAACTTCTGGGAGACTTGGGATGTCTGATATTTACACAACGCACACATACACTGCATATCAAATCTGCCGCCTTTTCAAACAGTAACGTATTTAAATGTTTCCCAGCTTGACCGTTAAAAGCAGACGATTGGCTGTCCAGCGGGAGGGGCGGGGCATTTGCATACAACCACCATCTTTGGTGTTTTGTATTAAGGACTGAGGAAGTGGCATGTCTCTATATAAATAGTTTCTGCAATAAGCTCAACAGCTCTTTCTGCATGTGACTTTTCTCTGGCCACCCAGACTGGCAGTACGGACGGATTTTCTCACAGACCGAGTCAGCTTTTTGTACATCAACTATTTGTTTCAGCCTTGTTTCTGTGGCTGAGCTCTGCACTGTCAGGAGTCAAATTTGATTCCTCAGCTTGTTTCTGTTCTCCCTCTCCTTCACGTACGCTCTCACACAGCTGAACACAATCCAGAAGCCATATCACCCTGTAACCCAAGACTGGTGGCCCACTGAAGCTAAGCAGGGTTGAGCCTGGTTAGTACCTGGATGGGAGACTCCTGGGAAAATTAGGTTTCTGCTGGAAGAGGGGTTAGTGAGGCCAGCAGGGGGTGCTCATCCTGGGGTCTGTGTGGGTCCTAATGCCCCAGTGTAGTTATTGGGACACTATACTGTAACAAGCACAGTTACTGTAATGGGATTAAAAATGGCACTTCTCGTAAAGAGTAGGGATGTATCCCCGGTGTCCTGGCCACATCCCACTGTAAAGTGCTTTGGGTGTACAGTAGTACATAAGAAAAGTGCTATATAAATGCCTCACTCAATCTCAATCTGCGTTTATGCTCTCACTCTTCTTCCCACAGCTGTTTCCCATTTGCCCCAGTCATCTTGCTATTTAGATCTCGTGTTCTTCTCCAATCTTTGTTGGTTTATTGTTTGTTCATTCATGCCCTTTACATACGCCTCATCATTGTGAGTTACCTCTGCCTAATCTTGTCCCATGTTGTAGTACTCGAGACTCGGACTCGTCTCGGTCTCGAGAGCATATTTTAATGGTCTTGGTCTTGTCATGGACTCGTGTCCATTTGGACTCGGAATTGACTCGTACTCGAACATATTTTTTTTTTTGGACTCTGACTTATTCCCGAGTCCACTCGAGTTCAATTAAAAATATTTTTCATGATTATTAATGTATGTTAATAAAATATTTCTTTAAATTGATTGACACGCCCAGTGATTGGTGATTTTCTAGTGCGCAACTGCGCATGACAAATTGTGATAAAATTACTTTTAACACCACCTACTATGTGTCCTTTTTACCCTAAACTGATCATATTTTTAAACTCTAAGTAAATTCAGTAAAAAACAAAAAAAAAAAAAAGGATTTCTCTAAGTAAATAAAAGTAAATTAGGTAATCAACCCTCACTGGTCTCGGACTCGACCGTCTCTGGTCTCAGACTCGACTCGACTCTCTATGGACTCGGTCTTGACACGGACTCGACTCTCTCTGGTCTCGGTGTCGACTCGGACTCGAGTGAGGTGGTCTCGACTACAACACTGTCTTGTCCAGTTCTGTCGTGTGTGTATCAGACAAGAGATATCACCTGTTATCCTGTGCCAAGCCTGCTAGTCTGTGCTGCTGTATCCACATATGGATTAGTGATGGTGAGAGCTCATCATCTCCTGTGTGTACTTCCTGTCTGTGCATTTAACCCTGCCTGGTTGCAGCCTGGTCCTTTTCAGTTTCATTGTCCTGTTCTGTGTCCGCCTAGATAGCCAGTGAAGGGCAGACAGCCTATTTTTGACATTTATCTGATCCTCAATAAACCTCTGCAACCAGCTTTCACTTTTGGGTCCTTTTTGCACTGTGAGAGAATAAACCAACCATGATGGACCCAGCGAACAGTGGAATTGGACCCAGATGGACCCAGAGAACGGTGTACCCAGTGAACTCTCCCTCAGGCTCTGGGCATCAAGGTGACGCTGTTGGCGTTAATGGGGAGCCCTGGAATCCTGTGACGTCAGCGCAGATCAAAACGTTTGTCTATACGAATGTGTGAGGGAAACTCTTGTGCAAAAATGTCATCCTTCAGCTCCTCATTCAAGCCTTCCTAAAAGCGTGCCGTGAGTGCTGCTTCATTCCACTCACAGATGGCAGGGAAAGTCTTAGGGCTCAACGGAGTAGCAGGGAGGATTGTCGCGACCGCTGTGTCATTTCCTAGATGCTTGGAGGGTTATTCTGGGTGTTTAACTGTTTCGAACTTTTATTGCCGCTTTGTTCAAAATTTCAGTCTTGTTGCCAACATCTGACTGCGCTCACATTCGCAAAGTCTTATTTTGTCTGGTCTGTGCTCAACACGCTTTTGAGCGTCTTAAGAGATTCGCATCCGCTCCAATTCTGATTTTGCCTGATCCGGAGAGTCAATATCGTTGAGGTGGACGCGCCTGACGTCGGGGTGGTTTCTCAGCACTCCACTCTTGATATTATAGTTCACCTGTGCATTTGATTTGCATCGGCTCTTGTCTGGTGAACATAACTATGATGTGGGGAACCGTGAACTGGCCCTGGAGTAGTGGCGCCATTGGCTGGAGAGAGCCTCCAGTCCGTTTATCGTCTGGACTGATCATCTCAATGTAGAGTATATCCGCTCCGCCAAGAGGCTTAACTCTTGACAGGCTCGTTGGGACCTTTTTCTGGGCCGTTTCAATTTCACGACCTCTTATCGACCCCGGTCCAAGAACATTAAGCGTGATGCTCTTTATCGCCAGTTCTTCTCTTCCGAGGGCCGACCCACCACGGAAACCATCCTACCGGAGGATCGCGAGGTACGTCGATTTGTTTCGTCGTGTTCTGTATGTGTCCAGCAGAAGTCTCTAACTTTTGGAGGGAATTCTGCCGACCTTTCTGCTCTTTGCCGGACCAGGGAACGCACCCGTCGCATCGCCAACAGTCGCCGACGCTCACAAGTATGTGTGTGGACAGAGTTTGGCTATCCATAACAATCTGGCCCTCAGTTGCTCAGATCTTTATTCCCGCCCATTACACTGACAAATATTTGAACATGACAGAAAATTAATGTTGAATTTTCTGATTGTCGTTTTTGATGTAAACTCCCTCTTTTTTTGTTTTTAGATATTTATTTTGTTGTACAGCAACAACTGTTGTTTTTGTTGTGTTACAAAAATACAATTGGATTTGATTTCATCATGACAGACCCTGGAAAAACTCTTACAAATAAAGAGCAATAAATAAAACATGTATAAGCATTTTGAGATTGTTTATAATTAAAGGACAGGTTTGGTATTTTACACTTAAAGCCCTGTTTTAAGATCGTTTCTGATGAAATAGACTTGATTTCATTGACTTGACTTGACAAAAACTACAATAAAACTTGTTGGAAAGCATCTTTTGCAGCGATTTATGTGAACACGATCAGTGAACACCCCAGACCACTCGATGAGTTTCACGTCTTTGTAAACTTAAGGTTCATCATAAAATAATGGGGGTGCAACCACAGAAACCAAAAATTCTTGGGACAGCAGCATGTGTCCAAATTGTCCACTTATCCTTTAATAGTTTTGTATTTTACTTGTTCTTTGGTGTTTTATTCAAGGTTATACAGCATGATTTTAACATTTCAATGCAAGTCCATTGTAATATGAAAGAGTTTCACCGCACTCATGGCAAACAAGGTGCCAGACAGATAATACTTGACAACCCAAAAAATAAATTGTCTGCACACTTGAGTCCTTCAAGCAAAATTTAATGCCAAGCTTTCGGTAATACAACCATCCTCAGGGCATATTTTTTTGGAATGCAAGTCCATTAGGAATACATTTTGCTTGAAAAAATCCTGATTTTCCTGTTTGTACACATGGTGATCATAAACTCCTCCTTCTTACAACACTCACCAGGAAGAGACTGACTTTCTCCTTTCGGTCACACTGACTTTGTCTCAACAAAAGCAATAAAGAAAAAAGCAATCAATGGAGAACAAAGAGAAAAACTTTACAGAAGGATTTTTGTGATGTTCATTTCTGAACAAACAGCAGATCTTTGACTCTCATTGTGATTTATTTTTGAAAACCGTCGTTCAGAAAGTGAAAGTAAAGTTTAGTTTGCGAGACTCAAACGGTGAAAATGGCTTCAGCAGCTGAAGATGATTATATTTGTCCTGTTTGCTGTGAAATCTTCAAGGTTCCTGTTTTTCTGTCCTGTAGTCACAGTTTCTGTAAAGAGTGTCTTCAACAGTTCTGGAGAACTAAGGAAACTCAGGAGTGTCCTGTCTGCAGGAGAAGATCCTCAAAAGATCATCCTCCATTTAATCTAGCGTTAAAAAACTTGTGCGAGTCGTTCCTGAAGGAGAGAAATGAGAAACGTTCATCAGGATCTGAGGAGATCTGCAGTTTACACAGTGAGAAACTCAAACTCTTCTGTCTGGAGGACAAACAGCCTGTGTGTTTAGTGTGCAGAGACTCAGAGAAACACACCAATCACACATTCAGACCCATCAGTGAAGTGCTTTCATCATACAAGGTAAGACAAATGTTTCTTGTTTCACATGTAAAGAAAAATAATTAGTCAAACATAGATATCATAACATTCATGCTTTACTATTTAAATTTTTACTCAACTTTATACGACATTTACTGTGCGGTAAAAGTATTTGCCCATCCTGATTTCTCATGTTTTTGTGTCTCATACTAAATAATGACTGACTGAAAGATCCAGAAAAATCCAGACTGAACATTTTCATAGATTTCATTATTTTGCACACAAAAAAAGAGCACAATTGAGCAGACAACTTTAGTTCAGCTTCATTTGAGGGTTTTCAAGCATGAACTGCCTGTTTAAGGTCCTGCCAGATCTTCTCAATTGGTTTCAGGTCTTTGACAAGGTCACTCCAAAACTGTAATTGTGCTTTTTTGAGCCGTTCAGAAGTGGATTTACTCACTATTCTTTGAATCATTGTCTTGTTGCATGAGCTTCACTTTAAAGACTAATGATAGGATATTGTGCTTCAGCATTTTCTGATAGAAAACAGAAAAAATCAGTTTCTACGTTGTTGTTCTTGGTCTTTGGTGACTTTGAACCACTTCTGGGAAGGTTTTCTGTGCCGAGTTTTTGGATATAACGGCTCTCGCTGTGGATCTTTGAGTCCAAGAGCTTTTGGAAAACCTTTGTAATCCATCACAGATGGATGCATGTCAATCACTGTCTTCATCATTATTCCTGGAGTTTCTTTCACCTTTGTCATAATGTGTTACTGTTTAAGATCTTTCAACCAACTTCATGCTGTTGAAAAAGTCCTATTTAAGTGTTTATTTGATTGAACATCTGCAGTGATCAGGACTGGTTGTGTTTAGTCCAGCTGAACAACATTATAAATACAGTTCTCTTTCATCATCTCATGTTCGAGATCCACCTATGGGAAGGGCATCCGTACCTGACCTCTGCAGAAGCATCCAATTGCATCAAGTCTGGCTAGACAGACAGAAGCGCGCGGCCAGTGCCCGATGAGGCCACACCCCTCACCCACGGGCATATAACATCTGGGCGCGCTGCTATTCCTCAGTTGACATTCGCTTCTCGCGACCTCTGCACTGACACAGTTCGGTTGGATTAACGTTATGCTGCCCACTTTCGAGTCTACAGGAGGACATATCGCCAGATCAGCCTCCGCCAGACGTGAGTGACAGTCGTTTTCTTCAGCCTATCCGCTGTGTATTTTGCATCCGGAGCCGCCGAGCTCTCACTATCCTTCACCTGCTCCTCCTTACATGGCTGCCCGCCACGTATTTTCCGAGTTCTTCACCGCTGGCCCACCCATGGCTATGTGACCGTCTAAACAGCCGCTTCCCCCGGGGAACAGTCTATCACGACGAGCCTGCCCGGCCGCGTCTGGTGCTCTCATCGCCGCTAAGGACCCTCTCGTTCTGCGCGGTCCGCTTGGGCTTAGCACGCTCAAGAAGCTTTGGAGTACCCGGAGAATTGTACCCGGAGTCATTGTAATTGCTGCCCATGTAGCTTTTTACAAAGCCGGCTTTAGTTGCACTATCCAGCGCACCGTGCTTGGCATTTCTTACTCGGATGGGGGACACGGTGATGATGACGCGCTACCGGGGGACTCCCGGAGCGCCACAGATAAAATATTTGAGCGGTATTCAGAAACCCAATCCGCATTCCCTGAAGAGGACATCTTCGCGGGAAAACCTCACTCTCGTTGACGAACCGGTCGGTTCCGGCGACGAGGATGACGCGGTCTTTCTAACGTTCCCTAAGCTAGCGCTCACGCGGTTTTGCCTCAGTCGATCCTCCTGGAAGTTTGTGAGCGAGCGGCCGTTCGTCTCAACATTGTGTGGCCAGCTCCATAGAGCGCCACCGACCAGGATAGGAATATTTACGACGGGTAAGCGCGGGTACCACCGCCCAGCCTGAGGAAACAACTCTTCAACGTTTTTTCCAGTGTTCGCGAAGCTCTCAAGCGCGCCTGGAGCCTCCCGCTAGACTGTTAACACTGTCTCACAGGCCTTGATGAGTTACGTGTTGAGGTTTCTATTTATGCCTTCCTAGGAAGGCGGCCCTGAACGCTAGCAGCCCGCCTGTTGTTCCACCATGGGAGCCTCGAGCCCGCGTTCACGGGCCACGAGCCCTCCGTATTCTCCCGGTCCCGGAACCCTTGTCCGAAAGACACGGGGTCTCCCTCGGACGGTCGGGTAATCCCATCTCGTGGCTACCAAGCCACAGGGGGGCTGTTGTGAGGGAAAGTACATAAGCAGTGTTACCACACCGCACACACTTGGTTCCCTCACCCAGTTATTAAAGGCTTCAGCCCCAGTGTTTCCCAACACAAAACACAAACTATTATTAAACGAATCAAATGAATTCGTGCAGATTTTTATATCTGTGTCAACATAGAGAGCAACTCTCTCTGATCCCTTGCATGTCGCCCCGAGTCCACCCTCAAGATGGCGCCATTGCCTCACAAATCAACCAGCTGGGCTCGCACAGCTCAGTTGCGGCTGCAAGCCCATGTGTTCTTAGCGCAAGTTGTGTGTGGAAGGCTTCGGTCCTTGTGTTTCCCAACACATAACTAAATACACTTTTAAACAAACTATTCATTTATATCCTTAAAATGGATAGTAATTTCTGCCTGCACTTGAGACTGCCCAGTTCATGTGTTCAGGAGATGTGTGTTTTCCCCCCAATTTCAGGGGGCTCCTTGTGGGTTGAAGTTTAGCACAGTGTACACCACACTATGTTTGCCCAGTTCACACAGTGTTTGCCCAACACGAAAGACACTGAGTTACGAATCAGATATTCGTTTTGGAGAGAAGACCTCTCTTCACAAAGAAAACTTCTCACTGCAGAGAGAGAAAATCCTTCCCCCGCGGATGGGTCAGCTTGCCGTCTGTCGAGACTGCCCAGCCCGTGTGTTCAAGGAATGTGTGTTTTCCCCCCACGTTCAGGGGGCCTCTGGTGAGAGGAAGGTTAAGTTCAGTGTCAAAACCACACTGCCCTCACTCTGTTCCCCTCACTCTTTCAATAAAGGCTTCGGCCCCAGTGTTTGCCCAACACAAAACACACGAAACACAAATAAATAACGAATCTAACAAATTCGTTTCAGAGGGAAAACCTCTCTCCACAGAGAGAACCTTCTCACGGAAGAGAAAGCTTCTCACATTCTGGAAGAGGAAAATTCATCTCTCTTAAACAAGGGAGCGATTCAGGTGGTACCCCCCAATCTGATGAACCAGGGTTTTTATTCCCGGTATTTTCTGGTTCCAAAGAAAGGCGGCTCTCTCCGCCCTATCTTGGACCTTCGAGTGTTGAACAAACATTTGAGGAAATACAATTTCAGAATGCTGACACAGGGCGCACTCGCCCGTGCCATAAAACAGAACGACTGGTTCACATCGGTCGATCTGAAAGATGCTTTCTTTCACATAAGCATTTATCCTCCGCACAGGAATTTTCTTCATTTTGCCTACCAGGGCATATGTTACGAATTCACAGTTCTTCCGTTTGGACTCAGTTTGAGTTCCCGGTCTTTCTGTCTGTGCGCGGAGGCGGGCTTAACGCCTCTGAGAATAACAGGTCTGAGAATCCTGACTTACATAGACGATTGGCTCATCATAGCCGAATCGAAGGAGAAGGTGTTGCAGGAACAACGGCCGTGTGCTCGCGCACATCACATCGCTCGGGTTCCAAGTGAACGTGGGCAAGAGCAATCTCACGCCCAGTCAGAATGTCTTTTTCCTGGGTTTGGAGTTGAACTCGGTTGCCATGCGAGCGCGTCTCTCTCTAGAGCGCGTTCGCTCTCTATGAGCTGTCTGTCACAGTTCAGAGAAGGGGCGAAAGTGCAATAACGCACATGTCTCAGGATGCAGGGTCTCATGGCTTCATCCACCCAAGTTGTGCCATTAGGACTCCTGAAGATGAGGGCGTTCATGAAATGGGTTTTGTCGCTACATTTCAGCCCGATTCGCGACCTTTGCCGCTCGGTTACAGTGATGCGCGCGTGCTCTGCAGCCCTGCGCCATTGGAAGAACGCAGACTTTTATGCACGGGGAACCCCTCTCGGGGCGGTTACGATGCGGAAAGTGGTGACGACAGATGCATCCTTAACAGGCTGGGGTGCCACCCAGGAGGGCAGAACGGTGAACGGTCTGTGGCCAAACAGACTACGTTCAGCACATATAAATTATTTAGAGCTTTTTACCATTTGGAAAGCTCTGAATCATTTTCTGCCTCGCCTGCAGGGACATCACGTGCTGGTACGGTGCGACAATACCACGGCTGTGGCATATATCAACCGTCAGGACGGCTTGCGCTCGTCGAAACTTCACCTTCTAGCTCACAAGCTCTTGGTGTGGAGCAGACGGTTTTCTTGTCGCTACGCGCGACTCACGTCCTGGGCATTCTGAACGTCGGCGCAGATCTGCTGTCAAGGTGAAACCCAATCTTCGGGGATTGGCGTCTTCATCCGCAGATAGTGGAAATGCTATGGATGAGATTCGGACGGGCGAGCGTAGATCTATTCGCCTCGCGCTAAAACTGCCATTGTCCTATGTTCTTCTCTGTAAGGGACATGGACGCCCCTCGGGGTAGACGCACTGGCCCACCCATGGCCCAGAGTGCTCCTGTATGCTTTTCCTCCCCTGTGCCTGATAATTCCCACATTGGCTAGGGTGAGAGAGCAGGGCCTGTCTCTCATTCTGATAGCACCCAGATGGCCCAAAGCACCGTGGCTGGCGGAGATATCCCTCTGTTATATGCCGAGCCATTGTGCCTTCCCGTTCGCACGGATCTATTATCCCAAGCCAACGGGGAGATTTACCACCCCCACCCGGACAGGGTGGCTCTCTGGGCCTGGCCCGTGAGAGGACGAACCTGAACGCACTTGGGCTTTCGCCGCGTGTGGTTACCACTATTCAGTATGCCAGGGCCGTCACTACACGGTCCTTATATGGCTGTAAGTGGCAAGTGTTCGAGGGGTGGTGTGATGGGCGCGGTATCACATCTTATCAGTGTTCAGTTCCTGATATTTTGTGTTTCCTTCAAGACCTCATGGATAAAGGCAGGTCCTTTTTCCACCATTAAGGTCTACTTGGCTGCTATTTCAGCCTGTCATGTGGGTTTTGAGGGCTCGACCGTCGGTCAGCACCCTCTAATCCGCATATTTATGAAGGGTGCACGCCGCTCTTTGCCAGTCGTCAGGAGAACTGTCCCGGAGTGGGACCTCTCCATGGTGCTGGAAGCTCTGTCTCAACACCCTTTTGAGCCTTTGGATAGTATATCCCTTAAGCTGCTGTCTCTCAAGACAGCCTTGCTTTTGGCCTTGGCATCTGCTAAACGTGTCAGTGAGCTACATGCACTCTCGGTTCATCCCTCGTGCTCTAAGTTCTCCCTTAGTGGAGATAAGGTCTTCCTTTAGCCTAACCCGGCCTTCATGCCGAAGTGCTTCCCTGCGTTCACTTCGGAGGTGTTGGAGCTGTCCGCTTTTCACCCTCCACCTTTACCTCTCTAGAGGATCAGAGGCTGAACGCTCTGTGTCCAGTCCGTGCCTTACAGGCATATATGACCAGGACGAATGCTATCCGGAAGAGCGACCAGCTCTTTGTTTCATGGGCTCCCCCTCACTTAGGGAGTCCAATTTCGAAGCAACGCCTCTCTCATTGGGTTGTGGATGCTATTACCATGGCTTACAAAGCAAAGGGAGTGCAGCCCCCTAGGGGCATCAGAGCTCATTCCACAAGAGGTTTAGCCACCTCTTGGGCTCTGTTTAGGGGAGTGTCACTGCAGGACATCTGCTCCGCTGCCAGTTGGGCTTCTCCTCATACCTTCGTGCGCTACTACCGGCTGGATGTCACCAGTACCTCGGTAGCACATTCGGTTCTAGGGGTGGGGTTGTCTTAGCCCCTCCCTGTAACCCTGTTGGGATATATAACCATTAAGAGTGAATGGGCTGACTGGCCATGTTCATTCCTGTCACCAATCATTTCTTCCCCTTCGGGTATAGATTATGTCTTGGTGGGTTGGGGTTACTATCTCGCATGTGTCCCATGCGTATTTCATGTCCTGCTTGTCCACATTAGTTAGGTGTGGTTTCACCATCGCAGGCTCATGATTAAGGGACGTGTCAGGCACCGCCTCCCTGAGGTGACCGTCCTTCTCTGGCTTCAGAACCTCACTGTGAGTGTATTGGACAATCGGGGAGCTGTCCATGTCTCTCCCATAGGTGGATCTCGAACACGAGATGATGAAAGAGAACAATAGGTTACTGTCGTAACCCCGGTTCTCTGAAACATCGAGTGGAGAGGAGATCCACCAGCTTTGCCCCGCTTGCCGCACGAGAAGCGAATATACTTACTGAGGAATAGCAGCGCGCCCAGATGTTATATGCCCGTGGGTGAGGGGTGTGGCCTCATCGGGCACTGGCCGCGCGCTTCTGTCTGTCTAGCCAGACTTGGTGCAGTTGGATGCTTCTGCAGAGGTCAGGTACGGATGCCCTTCCCATAGGTGGATCTCTCCACTCGATGTTTCAGAGAACTGGGGTTACGACAGTAACCTATTGTTTCATAGATTTGAGGAATTAGTCACTATGGGGCAAATACATTATCACGCAGGCCCAGTTAGTATTGGAAAACTGTTTAGCTTCAGTAAATAAGATTATTATTTACAAACTGTACTTTGTGTTCACTCAGGTTTCCTTTGTTTTATGATAAGATTTAATTTCTGAATCAATTTAGTATGAGATTTACACAAAAACAGAAGAAATCAGGGTGGGGGTGAATACTTTTGCACAGAATTGTATGATAATATCACTGTATTTTCTTCTCTTCACTGTAATCTGGTGTTTAATGTATTTTTGTTCAATTCTAGGAGGAGCTCGATACAGCACTGAAGTCCTTACAACAGAAACTTCAACACAATGAAGAAAAGAAAGGAGAGTTTGAGAAAACAGCAAAACACATCAATGTGAGGAAACAGAATCAAGAGTCATTTTCATTACAGCTCTAGGATCACTTTATACCGCTATGAACTGATATATTTAATATAGTGAATTCCAGTTGATTATTTCTCTAAACGATAAGCGGCTTCTGCTTCTGGATCTGTTATATGTCGTGTATCTGAGATTTGTGTTGACTGAGATGACTGAAGTGAATGTGATGTGATTTCAGTCTCAAGCTGAGCACACAGAGCGTCAGATTAAAGAAGAGTTTGAGAAGCTTCATCAGTTTCTCAGAGACGAAGAAGAAGCTACAATCACTGCACTGAGGGAGGAAGAGGAGCAGAAGAAGCAGAGGATGAAGGAGAAGCTGGAGGAGATGAACACACACATCTCAGCTCTTTCACACACACTCAGAGACATGGAGGAGATGATGAAAGACAATGACGTCTCGTTTCTAAAGGTGACAAATCAATCTGGCTTCATTCTCTGTGCATAAAACAACTTGTATAGAGAGACTCATTGACAGTGAGAGTGTTTGATAAGATATTAAAATGTTTTCCATCTCTATATTTTCCAGAACTATAACGTCTGGATGGAAAGGTAAGTGAGCTGCTCGTATCTCTTCTCTCAGTGGATCTGAACTCAAATTCACTGCAGTTCTGACTCCTGAATGTTCCTCAGAGTCCAGATCTCACAGCCGGATCCACGGATGAGTTCTGGAGCTTTGATTCATGTGTCGCGTTATCTGGGTAACCTGCCGTTCAGAGTCGGGAAGAAGATGCTGGAAACTGTCCAACACAGTGAGTCTCGCAGATTTGACACAGAGCAGAAGATAGGTCAGATATAAACACACAAAATCAATATAATATATATATTAAAAATCACTGAATCTGAACTATATTAAATCATCAGATCATCCAGCAAACTCAAAATATGTTTATGTATTCGGATACAACAGTGTTTATTGAATACTGATATTAAACCTGGAGCCTCAATCCATTCTGACAGTAACTGAGAGACCATTGTTATGATAGCAAGATTTATGATTTATTTTCATTTCTAATAGATCATATCTCATCCTGTAATCTGATGTTATTCTCTTTGCAGCTCCGTTGACTCTGGATCCAAACACAGCACATCCTCATCTCACACTCTCTGCTGATCTGACCAGTGTGTCGGTCAGTGATGAAGTTAAAACATTTCCTGATAATCCAGAGAGGTTTGACAGGTATCCATGTGTCCTGGGATCTGAGGGCTTTAACTCAGGAACACACTGCTGGGATGTGGAGGTTGGAGACAGTACACGCTGGGGTCTTGGAATAACCACAGCATCAAACCAAAGGAAGGGAAAGGATTTCTTAAACTCTAATATCTGGTGTGTGCGGTTCATAAACAGCAAATATATCTCACAATCCCCAGAGCAACCCGACACTGTCTTCACTGTTGAACAGAAGCTCCAGCGTGTGAGAGTTCAGCTGGACTATGACAGAGAAACAGTGTCATTCTCTGATCCTGTAACTAACACACATTTACGCACATTCAGGACATCCTTCACAGAAACTGTCTTTCCATACTTGGGTAATGCCCACTCTACTCCTCTGAGGATCTTACCAGTTAAACTGTTTATTACAGCAGAAAATCACAGTTAAATCTGCTTCTGCTTCTAGATTAATACAGTTTTGCTAATTATACTTCAATAATAACACTGTAATCAAAGGGTCTGATTGATCAATCACACTGAAATGTTTCTTTGAGGACATGTTTGTCTCTTTCAGTTTATTTTATTTTTGTATAGTTTTTTTCCTGTGTTCTGGATCGATTTTGGCACAGTGGAATTTTCTTATTTCCTTTCATAAATCACTGGGTTCACACAATAGAAACACATTAAAACTGCAAATTTCTTTTTATCTCAGGGCCATTTAACAATAAAATGATGCAGTCTTAGTTATTAGACTTTTGGTCTGTTGGCAAGGCTTTAAAGAAAAAGTTTTATTTTATTTTTTCTTTTACAAGATGGTGCCGTTTTCTCAGGTTTGTTCTATAAAGTGAATACTATTTTTTTCCCTGTGTTCTGCTTCTGCATATTAGAGTTAATTGGATAAATTATTGTGTAATAATTGCGTTTGTGTTTATTTGAGGTTTGTGTATATGTACTAACATTTTTATTTTTGCATGCAATAGTTGATAAAGAAAAATTGTTGTATTTTAAATCCCAAAGTAATTATTTGTATTATACATTCAATACCTCATATGTTCATATGTTTATTATCCTTTAACTCGAGCTCTTAAATTTTTCAGCTGTTTATTTTTTATACTTCTTTACCTCATAGTGTAATGCTACATTCCCTTGAGGAAATAAAACTGCCTGAACAGACAAATAATTAGTGATGGGCAGATCGAGGCTTCGTGAAGCAATGAAACAGTTGAAGCAAATGTGCCATATTGTTTCGAGGCTTTGAATCAATCCGACACCCGTCTCCACGGCGACACCTAGTCTTTCTTTCTGTCTTTGTATCTATCCATTCTATGTAGGCTATCTATCTATTAATGTCTACAGTATCTATTAATCTATCTGTCTATATATATTTCTATCTATGCATCTATTAATGTGTCACTATATGTACTATGTCTGTCTCTCAGTCAATGTGTAAATTTAAATGGAAGCCTAAATATAATGTGGGGATCTACTCAGGCAGGCATACAACATACAGTAGCTGCAGCACATCCAGGCAACACCCAGAATCATGTGATCTGTTGTAAGATCACATGACTAATCAGGAACTGATAAATGTTTGCTAGCTGCAAAGCAGACATTCTTTTCGGTTGATGCTAGGTGTGGTTGTGTGAGTTGGACTCTCATTTCATGCAGGGTAATTCTAGAAGTGCACGTCTTCTCTTCACGGGGGACACAGGCTTCTGTTTGGAAGTTTAACTTTTATGAGATCACCTCCATTGTGACTCGAGCTGCAGGAACGCAGTGCACTGCAACGGAACGTTCCCCTTTTATCTGCATGTGTTAATGCGCTGTGGCCTGTGGGACAATTGAGCATACTGAAAAGGACCAGGCCAGCCACTGTTTCCATGTGATTTTCGAAGCATTTCTTTATTGCTTCCTGTTGCTTAATTTTTTGTTTGATATTGTTTGGTTATCTGTATTTTTGCCACTCATGTGCCACAGTCATATTAGCATTTATTTTTCTTGACTAAGTGTTGCCTTTTATGCTGGTGGTTCTCCTCCCTGACTATGTCTTTTGCGTAGGTTATCCTTGTACAAGGCCGGATCTAGACTGATAATAACTACAACACGGTGTGACATTTTGTAGTGGTATCTAAAGGTCTTAAGTGTGTATAGCTTGCTGTGTTGCATGCTTCGACTGGTGCTGGGTTGCTGTCTCCCTAGGGGCCTCCTGAGCAGGGGTTGTGCATTCGCTGATCCGACCTTCCTATATGGAGGAAAATCCACCAGCCATTTATCCCAGCATTTTTTAAGATCTATTTTAATAACTTTTCTACGTCTTTTTGCACAAAATTATGTAATAAATTTGGATTATATTTACATATTTGTCTCTTGTTGACTGTCCCTTTGCGGGGATAAACTATAAATGTCACTATATCACCAAAAATCCGCTACCTCAAAACCACCTGATGAAACACTTCGAATCGCTTATTTAGCCGTAGTCACATGACGTGGGGGTTTTGAATCACGCTTCGGATCAGTGTTTCGAATCATCTGCGCTTCGGGATCTCGCAAAGCTTCGGAACGTCTGTTTCGCGTTCTGAATAAAGTGTATATGATAATTCATTTTTATGAGTGATTTCCCAGATAGCAAACTGACATTGAATCAACGTGGAAATATGACATCGAAACAACGTTGACCTGACATTGTTTTGCTCATCGAATTAACGTTGAACCAACGTCAGACGCGTCATTCTTTCAAAACTAACGGAAAATCAACTTGAAATCAACGCGTTGTTTCAACGTTATGAAAGCAAACCAATTTTCGATTTTCATTTAGCTTTGAAGAATGCCGCGTCTGACGTTGGTTCAACGTTAATTCGATGAGCAAAATCAACGTTGTTTCAATGTCACGAGAGACGTCGTTTCCACGTTGATTCAATGTCAGTTTGCTGTCTGGGTTGTGGATATCAACAAACGAAACCGGTTAAACTTGAAGTTGGTATTCAGACGGGGTATCCCTGGAGCGTGGTGAATTTCATAGTGGCCTTAAACCACTGGCTGAAATGGTTATGCCTCCTTGCCCCGCATGGTATTACATCTCCAAATCCAGTTCAGGCCTTTGCCGACGACGTCCTCATAGGCCTTTACATTGAGCGCCACAATTGCATTGTAAATACAACAGCTGCGCAAAGTTTCTGGACAAAGTGCAATACATACAAATAAGACTGTTCGAACTAGTTGGTTTTTAAATCTGAATGATAACATAAACTCTTTACGAAATGTCTTCAGGGAATACCCTAACACTCCAGACATCGTAGTCGTCAATGAACTCTCTAAAAAAAATTCTGATTCTGGAAGTGGGCTGTTGTTTTGTCAGTCGTGTGTGTGGAGGAGGCGATGTCATCTTTATCCATAGTTTATTTATTTATATATTCATGTGATTGTGACTATTGTCGATGTGTGTATTGTCGGGTGAAACATAACAGGCTCTTTGTGAATATTTGGATGTTGTGTTGTTTTAATCAGTATTGGTCAATCAAATGTGCCATGCCTTTTTGTTTTTTTTTGTCTCTTGAGCCTAGGTTACCAGTTGCAAGCCAGCCTGTTAATGTTTAAGTTTATATCGTTAGACCCTTGCGTCTGTTTTTCTTTTACTGTTTCTTGGAAGCCTGGCTTCCTTTGTTTTGTTGTACCTTTTATCAGTAAAGAAGATTGTCTTTCGTTGAAGACCTTCGACTCCTAGCCATTTTGACCACCTCTGCTCCTGGATTCATCCATTGGGGAGTTAGAGCTCAATCTGTTTAAAATTTAAAATTAGCTGACCAATATTATACTTACATAATTTGAAATCCAGCATAGTATATGTATTTTGTTTGGTATCCAAGTTCTTCTAAGGGCATTCTTCTTCTGAAAGAGATTTAGATTAAAAAAAAAGTGATACAATTTTCAAATAATTTTTAATTTGACAAAAAAATATCAGTAAAATATAAAAAGCTGCAATACCAGCAACATCAGCGTGTTTTCTCTTTCTCCCATGTTTTCCACAATTTGCAACAAAAGCAAATAAAGTAAGCAATAGAACACGTACAATATCAAAATTAATTGAATGCAAGGATGCATTACATTGATCACAAATTACAGTTAAGACTTTTGTAAATACAAAAAAATATCAAATTAATGGTCCAATTTTAAATATTTTTTACAACAACATTTCAAAATCTTGCCAACCCCTAATAGCATTAAGAACAGATATTATAGGAGTTAGAGCAAGTAGCGTTTACCCCTGCTGGTTTTTATCACTGAAACACTTTGCTACTCCTTTTCACTCAAAGGGTCTGCAGAATATATTTTTACTGAAATAGTGTTATATGAGCGAGTCACTAAATCATTCCGCTCCATGATTTCCCAAAACAGTTTACAGAGTGAACAAGATGTCTTGACTTTTTTAAGGGTTTCTTAAAAGTACAGCTAATTTTTCACAAGAGAAATTTTCAAGCAAGATTGCACTCCACCATTTTCATATGTTCTTCATGTTTAGCTGTGTACATAAAGTAATGAATGAATATAATTTTCAATTATATTAAACTGCATATAGCTACAAAAAATAAATAGGCCTACTTACTTCAGTAAAGTCAGACTTCTGTCCCAGAACAACATACAGTGCGTACTTTAACATGCAAAGAAACACAGAAAAAGTTAAATAGGAAGCAGCACTTGATTACGATTGGATACGATCTCCTATAGTGAATATAACAATAATATTTTTGTTAACTTACACCTACTACCACCCAAGATAAATGGGACTGAAGGTGGCCTGTTGCCTGGATGTTCTCATCAAATGTTGTATTGTCCTTAGGACAAAGTGAAACTGTGAGAGTGTCCTGCATGCACACCTTTCACTGATAAGTGAACCTAAAACACAATTACATGCGTTTCACATTTATTTCACTGATTGTTATGAGTAATACATTTGATAAAATAATTTCATTAATCACGCACTGACACGCAGAAAAAAGCATAACTACAACAAAAACAAGTTAAGACATTTTTAAGACTTTTAGAATTTGAAAGTCAATGCAGTCCTAAAACGCACAAAAATAACACTGCCACAATACCTTATTATGGTCTTCAGAAAACATCTGGAGAGCAAATTGTAGAAAGAAATAGAATGCGGAAAAGATCTTGTCATGCACATTACAGATTTTGTCATTTGTGTGCTACTAAATTAAAACTACAGAAATCTATTTGGATACACTTTACCCTTATTCTTTCTTTTGAATACACCAAAGACTAAAAACAATGTACGAATATTGAATTCCTGAATATATATATTTTTTTTCTCGGAGTGAAGGTCAACTAAGAGCAATGAAACAACCAGAGATGAGCTAAAATAGCAGTCAGGACTGATTCTCCAAAGCCGGTAAGATCAATTCTAAGGTTATCTATATCTCAAAATGTAACGACACCATATGATCACAAAAGTAGAATCGTTTCTCTTGTATGAAAGAACAACAAATTAGTTTTAAAACCGAAAGCCCCATTAGTTTTCCACCAGTCTCTTCATGACGTACATATTACTCTTCCACCCTCAACATTTTTAAGAGATAGGGCTTCAAACAGTCCTTTGAGGGCTTTGTCTGTTTGGATTCCCGCCATAGCTTTCTAAAGCGAAAAACAGAGCACTGACGCTATTTTACGCGCTCAACTCTTGATGTGATCTACACACTATAGACTGAGAGGAAAAAACAATCCCGATGATGTGAAGATCGACGGATGTGGGCGGGGCTGTGTGTGAGACGCGTCACTATCGCCGCCCCGCACCCGTCACGTGACCTGGATGTTGACGTACACTGCGGGACGTTGGCGCGGTTTAATCCAAACCCGGCTGTTGTTCGTGTGTGCGGTTTGTAATTTTCACTTGAAGAAATGTCCGAACAGCAAATATACAGCTACGAAAACGACTGCAAACCTGACGAAAACAGGTACGAATTTAAAAATGTGTTGTGTGTGTGGTTGTTTTTACTTTTCATGGTTATTCACCTTTTTGCTAGCATAGCAAGACACTAACGTTACAGCTATTGTCTTCCGGAGTGCAACATTTAGTCTTTTTTGGGCCATTAAAGCATGTGTTTTTGCACTCCTTTTAACTTATTTCAGTTCCCCCGCATGTAGGCTATTCCTATCTCTTTGGGTATGGACACATTTCTGCAGCTAGTGAATGAGGTGTGAAGATCTCCCGCCTTCGTTTGGAGTGTAAATGAGTATTTGGCGCCATGAGAACATAATATTTTACCACCGCATTCATGAAAACTACATTAAACTACCTCTCTCGGTGTGCCTGTGTTATCCACTCGCTATATTTCTGTTGTAGTGAGCAGAGTGTGTGTTGACAGCAGATTATTTGTGGCGCCTTGGAAACAAAGGCTAACTTATACAGAAATATTAGCCTGTTTTCTGTTAAAAAGTTGCTTATTGGTGCAAAAATAATATCTATAGCACGGCAGATTTTATGGCCAAGTGTGTGTAATGATTAATGTTTTTGCATTGAGTTCATAATTTACAAAATAAATAAAGTGTTTATATTTGAATGCATGTGCAATGTTCAGAAAATGTGTAAAAATCATTGTTTTTTTTAAATACTTCTCATGTCTTTTGTCTTGAAGGAACAGAGGCGCTTCACGATGGTCCCAGTGTAGGAAGCGGGGAGCAGATGGTAGTCTGAGGAAAGCTCAAGCTGAAGAAGATCAGAGATGTTCACGCCGACCCGAGAGGTGCGTTCAGTGTCTGATCATCATAATCTGTGCATGAAACACAAGAGAGGCAACTTTGCTTCGACATTTTGTTCAGTATATCAGATGCATCAATTCTATTCTTTGCTAATTTAATCAAATTCCATCTAATCTAATACTGGCATCCGAATGATGGTCAGTTAAATGGATAGTTCACCCAAAAATGAAAATCAGTCCATGATTTACTCACCCTGAAGTGCATTCCTCCATCATAAATTCCTCCATCATAAAAGTGCATCCATCCTAGTGCTGGGCGGTTTGACCAAAAATTTGTATCACGTTTATTTTCTAATTTTATTTTTTATTTTTTCATGCATAATCAGCTATTTAAAGCATTTTCTACTGTTGAAAAGAGGAATTACTGCAATAAATTGACTTAAGGTGGTCTATTTTTGTCTTTAGTTAATGTTGTACAATATAGTGCCCAGTATAACCTAAAATTTCTTAATGTTCTAAAAACATTCTTATAACCAAGCGAGAACGTTACAATTCATAGAACATTCAGAAATAACGTTTTTATAACTTAATGGGAATGATATGAAACCTAAAATTGTTATCTGGGGACGAGGAGAGGTCGTGAGCGAGGACGAGAGCGAGCCCAGAGAAAATAGACCTATTCTTACATGAGCAGTGTGTATCTGAGAGCGGGTTAAATTAGATTCACGCTCATGCATTATATTAATTTACTTTCGCGCTACAATAGTGCGCTCTTGTGTGTAATTAAATTCATCCGTATGGCGGTATATTAAAAATGAACATCTTGACAAGAATATACACCGTTTTCGGTATGAACCGGTATACTGCCCAGCACTAATCCATCCACCAAAAGTGCATCTATTCACCATAAAAGTGCATCCATCCATCCATCAAAAGTGCATCTGTCCATCATAAAAGTGCATCTATCCATCATAAAAGTGCGTCTGTCCATCATAAAAGTGCATCTATCCATCATAAAAGTTCATCCATCCATCATAAAAGTGCGTCTGTCCATCATAAAAGTGCATCTATCCATCATAAAAGTGCATCCGTCCATCATAAAAGCCCATCCATCAATCATAAGTCCATCTATCCATCATAAAAGTGCGTCTGTCATCCATCAATCATAAAAGTCCATCCATCAATCATAAGTCCATCTATCCATCATAAAAGTGCATCTGTCCATCATAAAAGTGCGTCTGTCCATCATAAAAGTGCGTCTGTCCATCATAAAAGTGCATCCGTCCATCATAAAAGCCCATCCATCAATCATAAGTCCATCTATCCATCATAAAAGTGCGTCTGTCATCCATCAATCATAAAAGTCCATCCATCAATCATAAGTCCATCTATCCATCATAAAAGTGCATCTGTCCATCATAAAAGTGCGTCTGTCCATCATAAAAGTGCGTCTGTCCATCATAAAAGTGCATCTGTCCATCATAAAAGTGCATCTATCCATCATAAAATTGCATCTGTCCATCATAAAAGTCCATCCATCAATCATAAGTCCATCTATCCATCATAAAAGTGCATCTGTCCATCATAAAAGTGCATCCGTCCATCATAAAAGCCCATCCATCAATCATAAGTCCATCTATCCATCATAAAAGTGCGTCTGTCATCCATCAATCATAAAAGTCCATCCATCAATCATAAGTCCATCTATCCATCATAAAAGTGCATCTGTCCATCATAAAAGTGCGTCTGTCCATCATAAAAGTGCGTCTGTCCATCATAAAAGTGCATCTGTCCATCATAAAAGTGCATCTATCCATCATAAAATTGCATCTGTCCATCATAAAAGTCCATCCATCAATCATAAGTCCATCTATCCATCATAAAAGTGCATCTGTCCATCATAAAAGTGCATCCGTCCATCATAAAAGCCCATCCATCAATCATAAGTCCATCTATCCATCATAAAAGTGCGTCTGTCATCCATCAATCATAAAAGTCCATCCATCAATCATAAGTGCATCTGTCCATCATAAAAGTGCGTCTGTCCATCATAAAAGTGCATCCGTCCATCATAAAAGCCCATCCATCAATCATAAGTCCATCTATCCATCATAAAAGTGCGTCTGTCATCCATCAATCATAAAAGTCCATCCATCAATCATAAGTGCATCTGTCCATCATAAAAGTGCGTCTGTCCATCATAAAAGTGCATCCGTCCATCATAAAAGCCCATCCATCAATTATAAGTCCATCTATCCATCATAAAAGTGCATCTGTCCATCATAAAAGTGCATCTATCCATCATAAAAGTGCATCCGTCCATCATAAAAGTGCATCCGTCCATCATAAAAGTGCATCTATACGACTCTAATAAAGGCTATCTGAAGTGAAGTGATACATTTTTGTAAGAAAATATCTGTATATTTATAATTTTCTAAAATATAATATATAAACTATTATAACTATAATCACTGTAGTTCCTGTGGAAGAGTGACCTCAGAGCTTTCCCTATCGGATCTTTATTCCCCCTTTGTTCTAAAATAAATAAAAATCCTATAAACACGGCATCGTCTCCAGAAATCTCTGCGTACGTGTGTAGTATACATGCCAAACCATTATGTGGCGCTGTAATTCTGCCAGGAAACAGAAAGAAGCTTCTTTTTTATTTTTAACCAAAAACTTTATTGAACAATACACGTGCATATATGACACAAAATATGAAATGTCTTAATCTGACAAGAATCATAGAATAAGAAAATATAAATAAATAATAGAGGCTCAGTAAACGTGAACCTCACTGAACGTGTCTGATGTGTGTGTGTGTGTGTGTGCAGTTTCACGACCCCGGAGAGCGAAGGGCCGGTGTCGAGAGTGAGGAACTGGGGCGACGAGGTGGAGGCCGAGGAGATGCGCTCAGACGTGCGGCGCGACATGCATCGGTCCGTTGCCTCGCTGCATTCATGCTTTTCAATCAAATCAGATTTATATTGCATGCATGACCATTTTACTGGGCTAAATATACATTTGATTTGTTAAAATGAATGTACAGGCGTCATTGATAAGCCGTTAATTGGAGATTTCTCTTTTCCAGATACAGGAGGAGGATTCTTGCAGTCGATGTTCCTCAAAGAGACAGAAAACACTCATCTGGAAGGTTTGTGATTGTAACATTTTCTGTGTTTACGGCCCTATAAAATCCATTTTATTCATTCGCAAATTCCGTTTTTTTTTTTTTTTTGGAATTTACTTTTTTTTTAACCCTTGGCTGTTATTTTAGTCATAAAAAGAGTGTGCTTTTAAAGTTAATGATTAAAATGTTCACAAATAAAATAGGAATGACCTTAAATTTATTGAGGTATCAGACATTTACTCGGTAGCCTTTTCAGGACGAATACTGCATGATGCAACATAACACTGCACTCTTCAAGTAACAACACAATATAGTTATGAGCTTTAAACTGTCCACAGGGTTTCCGCGGGTCTTAAAAAGTCTGAAATTCTGAACTTTAAATTTAAGGCCTTAAAAGTCTTAAAAAACGGCTAGATTTTCATCTGAGGTCTTAAATTTGATTTAGTCAGGTCTTAAAAAGATTTTACCCTCGTTCATTTGCCAAAACTCTGGCCGCAGAAAGTTATTACAAAGTAGCAAAAAAGTATTGAGTCGTAGCCTACAAAGCGGAGCTCTAGTGCAGGGGTTCAAACCAGTTCAAACATGCCGCTCGCGTGCTAGCATTAGCTCGTGGGTTGATAACATAGCTTGATACGAGGTAGCTAGCCAAGAGGCCGTTCATACGCCAGGGTTGCGTGCTCAAGTTCATTTAAATATAGGCGCGTCGCATCCACAGCGAGATTGAAAAAATCTCACCATTTCAGATTCAGAATGCCGCAAACGAACCGAAGAACCAACCAATCAGCCCCTTCCGTAACAACACTGAAAGCTCAGTCATCATGAAGGATCGCGGTGCGCCCAAACACTACCGGCGTTTTTCTTTTCTCCGTGAATAAATCTTGTAGCAGAGCTAACGTTACAGCAAGCGTTTCTCGGTGGTGAATCCTTTGGCTACTAAAACGTCTTTGTCGTTATGGAGAGAGCAGTGCATGGTTGCATAGCAACGACAGACGCAACAGGAAAATCGGCCCAAATTTTACTATTAATAATAAAAGATAAGGGGATGTGAATGTCAGTAATTTATCATTTTTTGACTCAATCTTTTTATAAAAGATTATTTAAAGGCTGAAATACGTGAGGTTTATCTGTTTATAAAACTATTTTTGTGAAGACTTTATTTTAACTAGACTTAACCTGTTGCAAGACACTCCTTTAAAATCTGGCCATCATTTTAATGGTATTTTAATGTTTATGTAAACAAAAAGTGCATATTCATGCTAATTTTATTTGCTGTGTTTAGACATACATTTGGCAAATTGATTTCATAGTAATCATGAAATGAAATGTTCATGCCATTTCATCTCTGGTTATTATCAACTAAAATCAACTGTAATTGTGTTTTTACAGTATAAAATGCAAAGTACAAATTTCACCTACACACACACACATTATATAAAATCATTTTTTTCCCCGAATATTTTCTTATTTGAATTTTTGGTAATGCGTTGTGTAGGTCTTAAATTTCAATGTTTATGGTCTTAAAATGTCTTAAAAAGTCTTAAATTTGATTTACTGAAACCTGCAGAAACCCTGTGTCCAGTAAAATTAATTCTGTTAGTTTATATAAGTTTAAATAAAGTCACACTCTTTCCCTTTCTCGCCCAGTGTCACTCACGGAGTTCGCTTCACTTTTGTCCAGTCCGGCGCCTCATAGACAGACGCGGTGTGCACGTTGTGTGTGTGAGAGAGAGAGACGGAGGGAGAGCTGGGAAAGGAAATACAACTGTAAGAATACGCTGCGTGTTTTAAATAGTGTTAAAAAAATAAACGTAACACAATATGTGGCGGCGAATTAGTCTATGTGTGGGAAACACTGCATAAGTCACGTGCGAACTAGAGCCAGACCGATATATCGGCAGACCGATATTATCGGCCGATATTAGGCATTTTCCAAACTATCGGTATCGGCAGTTATAATGGCCGATAAATTAATATTTCAAAAATAAAATAAAAATGGATGAAACACGCTTGAACCATGTCATGAGTGTTGGAGTTGTATAGTTTGTCCACCAGAGGGCGCTCTACACCGTTCCTGTTGGCAACACTCGTTGAGTTGGTCACGAGACATACATTGCTTAAATAACAATTAAAAGAACATCCCCATCAGTTCTCTTAACTCAAATAAGCATGACAAATTTATGACTATCATGTCCAGTTTAAAAAAAAAATTAAATAAATAAATAAAATATCGGCCGATATATCGGATTTTAAAACCCAAAAATATTTGTATCGGTATCGGCCTTCAAAGTTCTTTATCGGTCGGGCTCTAGTGCGAACTGCTCGGCTCGGCACTGACTGCTTATAGCGTCGAGTTTCTTAACTTTTTTGCCGACTAAAGTGGAGAGCCGCTTCGCCATGCTTTCGTTGTTTTGATTTCGTCATTGTAGCTGAAATGACGGGAGGGGTTGTGTCGCCCAGATTTGCTTCCCCCGGTCTGTATTTTCATCACACATGTTCTTCTCGCACACAAAAACAGAATTTCAAACCAATTGTGTGAAATTACGCGTTGACACTAGATTCCACGATTATTTGCCAATTCCGTGATCGCGGAAATCATTTACGGGACTCTTTCCCATGTTAAAATCCTTTCTGCTGCTGATCCTGTTGGTTCCTCTGAAGAGCGCAACACTAAGACTGTGCTTTCAAAACAATGCAGGAACATCGGCTCAAACAATGGTGTTTTTGGTGAACAGTGGCGGGTTTTTTCGGGAGGATATTTTTTATTTACTTTAAGCAAAATCTAAGAACGAAATCATGTGACGTCATTTCATGCAAAATTCAGGCCAATGCGAAGCTTGTTTCGGGAGTTCAAAACCGCTTGCTGTAGAGAACTGTCCAGGAGAGTTCCGGCCTTCCAGCTCCCATTGGTCCAAATAGTGATGATGTCATAGGTAGGTGTGGCTCTGAGGCTCCGCCCTCTTTATTGTGTTCTTCATTCCGTCGAGGTCGAAACATGAACACACTGGAAAGGCACTTTATAGTAGATAATGAGGTTGAAAGAGACATTTCACTGTTTTTCCATGTTGCAGAGCTCTGCAATTCAACATTTCAGTCACATCATGTATAGTTATACTGCACTTTATACAGCTTATTGCTTAAAATCAAGCAGCTTTACAGTATTAAACATGTAAAATAACTGTCGCTTTCAATTAGAATTACATTTTCTGTTATGAAGCGCCTCTCCATTGTGTTCATGTTGTTACTCGCATCTGACCTCTGGACTGAACAGAAGAAATTAATCATACAAGATTTATAGCTCAAAGTGGGCGGAGCCTCAGAGCCACACCCACATGTTACATCATCACCATACGGACCAATGGGAGCTGGAAGGTGTTTAGTAGCAGACAGCACGAACTTCTCCGGAAAGTTCACTTTGGCAAGCGGTTTCAAACACAAAACCAACTGTTTCAGACAAATGCTGTTCTTTTGAACTTTCTACACCTCAAAGAATCCTGAAATAAACATGTAAATAACTGTTTTCGACATTGATAATCATAAATGTTTCTTGATCATCAGATCCTCATATTAGTGTGATTTCTGAAGGATCATGTGACACTGAAGACTGGAGTAATGATGCTGAAAATCCAGCTTTCGGTTTTTGTATTTTTAATCAAGTAAATGCTGAAGAGTTCCTTTAAAACATTAAAAAGCGCCCTGATCCAATCCTTTTGGACGGCAGTGTGTGTTTAGGTGTATCGAGTCGTAACCCGAGCTTTTCTTGTCCCCCAGTTCCGACTCCAGAGACTCACGGGACTCTCGAGACTCTTCGGCTAAAGGCGAGATGGAGACCGACGAGGCCGTACTCGTGCGCCGCCAGAAGCAGATCAACTACGGGAAGAACACTCTCGCGTATGACCGATACATCAAAGAAGTGCCCAAGTGCGTGAGGGGTCTCCAAACACACGAGTAATCTCCTACGACCTCTCGCATAGTCTTCTTCTTACAGTATTTAAGATCACTTTTATTATTTTAGGCCAATGAGAGAGCCGGGCGTTCATCCAAAGACTCCAAACAAGTTTAAGAAGTACAGCCGGCGCTCGTGGGACCAGCAGATCAAGCTGTGGCGGGTCAAGCTGCACGCCTGGGACCCCCCCGCCGGAGACCTGCAGCAGATGTGAGACATCACAGCCCTACACACACCGTTAGCAATAGGATCGCCATTGGCTGGGACATTTTTTAGTTTACTCGCCAGACTGATGTACTATATACATGCGAAATTTGACAAATTTGAGTATTGTATTTCAGTAATTCAAGTTAAAAGGTGAAACTAATATATTTAGTATATATAACTATATACATACGCATGATTATACTTTTCAGAGGCCCCACATTTCTGTATTTTCACATTTTTATTCTTTTTAATTTCATGTAATATTCAAATTTCCTGAGATTTAAAATTTGGGGTTTTCATAAACTGTACGCCATAATCAAAATTATAGCCATTGCACGTTCTAATTTTTCGAGTTTCATCTGTGTGTGTGTGTGTGTGTGTATATATATATATATATACACTACCGGTCAAGCATTTAAAGATCAGTACGATTTTCTTTGTTTTTAAATGAAGTCTCTTCTGCTCACCAAGGCTGCTTTATTTGATGAAAAAAAAGACAAACAGTAATATTGTGAAATATTATGACAATTTAAAATGACTGTTTTCTATTTTAATGTATTTTAAAATGTAATTTGAAAGCTGAATTTTCCACATCATTACTGTTGCTGATTACACATCAGTTTTCAGTGTCACATGATCCTTCAGAAATCATTCTAATATGCTGATTTTATGCTCAAAAAACATCAATTATTATTTTCAATGTTGAAAACAGTCGTGTACCATTTCCCCCCCAAAATTCTATGATGAATAGAAAGTTCAAAAGAACAGCATTTATTTAAAATATAATCTTTTCTAACATTTTACTGTAACTTTTGATCAATTTAACTCATCCTTGATGAATAAAATTATTTTCTAATTTCTTTCCCCCAAAATTAAAAAATAAATTCTAAATGACCCCAAACTTTTGAATGGTAGTGATTAATGTTACAAAAGCTTTCCATTTCAGATCAATTCTGTTCTTTTGAACTTTCTATTCATCAAAGAATCCTGAAATAAAAATGTAAAAAACAGTTTTCAACATGGAGAATAATCATAAATGTTTCTTGAGCATCATATTATAATAATTTCTGTTCTCATGTGACAGTGAAGACTGGAGTAATGATGCTGTAAATTCAGCTTTGATCACAGGAATAAATTACACTTCACTATATATTCACATAGAAAACCGCTGTTTTAAATTGTAATAATATTTCACAATATTACTTTTTTTTTTGTGTGTGTATTTTTTATCAAATAATTGCAGCCTTGGTGAGCAGAAGAGACTTCTTTTAAAAACATAAAAAATCTTACCGATCTAAAACTTTTGACCAGTAGTGTATCAATATAAATATATAGTCCGTCTACCACACAATAACGCGTAGCTCAGTTTCGTTGGGTAATGTTGTGTTCACGCCAGCGTCTCTCACATTATGAGTGCGCTTGCAACGTGCGACGTCCCTGCAATTGACATAACAACATTTTGGTCAGCAGGAAAAATGGTCCAAGGAACTGAACGGTTCAATACGAATACGTGTATCGCTACATCCCTATTATTTAGGCTCATATGCAAGTGATTTATTCTCATTGTGTAGTTCAGCACAGAGTTAATGGTGTTTGAGTTCCCAGTGCTGGTTTACTCAGTGTTGTGTTTCTGTCAGAGAGGAGATTGACCTGGGTGAGATCATGGACTTCGAGTTGGACGTGGAGTGTTCTGCGGATCCCGAATCCCAGTGTCCGACAGCCAACGCGGCGCCGCAGTCCCTGACACAGGTGAGATTCACAGTTCCCAACACTGGCGCACATCAGATCACACACATCAGGAATACACCTTTTCTGTGGGATTAAAAAATGTCCAGAATTTTGTGAACCTCATTATATTATGGCATACAACATTTACAGCATTCCTACGCAGTTTGGAGAAGTATGGAGATTTGATTTGAGTCATTTTCTGGACTGGATGAGTGTGGGGAAAAAAATACATTTTTCAACACAAATAGTGTTTTCTATGCAAACGTTCAGTGATCCTTTAGTGATCGTCGAACACAATTGAATACATTCAAGGTGCACATTTTTTATTTTGCAAAGCTCTTTGTCTGCCACTTTAACAGTGATGTTGAACTTCACTGAATGAATGTGTGTGTCCCACTCAATGTTTCTGCCAGAGAAAATAACAATATTTACAAAATTTAGAGTTTGGTTGCAAAACGCTATAAATCCATTTTGATGAATTTGAGTAAAACTTTGTTTTTTTAGCAAGAAAATGGGAAGATGAAAACCACTATTTTCTGTTTCAAATTTTCACATAGCATTTGTAGGTTATAATACAATAAAAAATGTAATCCAGGTTTTGATTTTCAAAGATTTATTATAAAAACAGATTGTTTTTTTCCCCCAAAATGCAATAAATCCATTAATTTCTTTTTTTTTTCTTTTTTTTTTTTTAAATGCAGCTAATCAAAATAAAATTTTATACACATTGAATTTCATCAAGCTAACATACCGCGATCTATTGCAAATCAAAGTGACAGTAAGTCGCAGACGCTTAACACAACCATCTTCATTAAAAGTAAAGAAACGAAATGATCTTACCAGGGCTGATGCCGCTCTCTCTTATTGCTGTCGTTGTTGATTTTGAAATTAGCCGATGATCAATAAAATTCTGCTCATATCTGTTGCTTTCGATGACGTGCACTTCATTAAATCTGTATATAGCGCGGGAATTGAAGAAAACACATTTATGTGACCAGGTGTAAGGAATCGTTTTGATAAATCAGAGCTATCCGATCTGAGAAAACGCAGGTGTAAACAGCCCATAAATGTTTATTGTAGTAATGTTAGATGTCCCTCTAGTGGACCGAACGTGTAATAACAACCACTGGCTATAGTGGCATTGACGATCCATACGAATGTGTAATGTCGTAAATATTAATAATAGGATAAATTTGAGCATTTAACATTCAAATATTACATAGAATAAGGAATGGAATTCGAATAGTATTATAGAGGAAGATTGACAGCCCTAGTGGTCGGTACCACTTCAGAATTTGAGGTTTTGAATGGTTTCTGAGCATGTCCTCTCGTCCTGCAGGACTCATTCACAGGAACCCCTAAGAAGATGATGAAGATGGAGGATGCGGAGATGTGCTGAGAGCCGAGTCTCCGAGGGATCCCGAGCATCTGGACCGGTTTAATGCACTGTTCGTCTCACTGTTGGTTTGAGGATTAGACCGCGGTGTGTGATCCACTGGTGGTGTCGTCCTCGCCCTCGTCACCGACTCCACCGGTTTATTTTTTTGGGTCTTTGAAAAGAAAATGTAAATGTGTAAATTGTGGTGTTCTGTGGTGGTCGTCCAGCGCTCAGTGAACCTCGTGTATTTATCAGCAAATTTACAATGTTTTAATGTTTTTTTAAAAGAATTTCTTTTTTTGATTTGTTAATTTCTATTTTATTAAGAACCTTTTGAAAATAAATATTAAACTGGAATGACCATATGATATTTGTCAGTTATTTGTCTTATCAGGAGAATGTGTTCATATCAGGTAAATGAATGCTTTTACTGTCTAATGTGGGTGTTTTTAATCATAATTATCTTCATTAAAGGGACCCCATCCTAATTTTAAAAGACTTATAGATTTAATTTAAGTTAGTCTTATATTTTAACATTTCTTATATAAAGATCATTGCTCAAAATATTATTTTATGCCGTTACATCATTACCATATTATAATACTGTACTGTTATATTGCACATATTTAATCACTCATTTACTTATTATAATCTTTTTTTTTTATTATTAAAAACAAGATATTCTCCATTTTAACCAATCAAAAAATCGATTGACATTCGGGAAGCTCTTTGATTGGTGGATCGTCTCTACAACGTAACAGCCTGACACAAAATCTTGTGCTTTGTGTTTTTGCATGATGATGATAAATTGTATTTTAAGTAATTAGCTCCATAATCGTCATATCAAGTTCCTCATCAAAGTACTTTTGACTCAGAGTTAGAGTATATTTTAGAGAAAATCCTACAGTTGACTCTTGATCTGAGAAGCGCATCATTATAACCTGAGAGCAACTGCACTAGTCATTACTGGTATTGTTTCACCAAATCCCAGCATGCACTGCAGTCACTGGTGCTGAGAATGAGTCCTGTTACATCATCAATGGTCATTATGTTGTATGTGTGTTATTATGACTTGCTGTATATTTGTCACAGTAGTTGATGTTGTTTTTTATTTATCCTTTATTTTACCAGGTGATGTCCCATTGAGATGTTCAAATCTCTTTTACAAGGAAGCACAAATTTCACAGAATCACACTAACACAACAAACAGCAAAACAAATTTACAGTATGTAAAACAATCAAATTTGTACTTCAAATCCATTTAATTCCATCATTTTGCATCTTGTGTGGGGCTTTATATGTATGTATATATATAGAAGTATAAAAAATCAAACTCTTTTAAATAATGTTTAGTTAAAGTAAACTAAATTATTTATTTTATCTTGTTATTCTGTCAATCATTATGCATGAATATATAAACCGCTGCTGGCCTCACAGTGTATTCATATGTTTCAGAGCTCGAGTTATAGGAGAATATACATATAAGATATGAGGATTTCACTGGAAAGTAGATTACTAAAATATGTTGACACTTTATATTGTCTTATATATTGTAAATGTGAATTTAAACAGTTTAATTATTGTAAGACTTGGAATTTTCTTGATAAAATATTACATGCACAAACACTATTATTTTAGTACACACACAGTTATTACACAATATTTTATCCAATTGACCCTAATATGCAGAAGCAGAAAACAGGAAAAAACCTTAAAGCCTGAACAAAGACTGAATCATTTCATAGTTCAATGGCGGCAGGAAAAAAAATGGATTGTTTTAATGAGTTTCCATTGGGACATTTTTGTCCTTAACGTCCAAACTTGAGTGTAAGTGATTTATGAAAGGAAATGAGGGGAAAATATGAATAACATACGCAATAAAATATGCAAAATTGGCGCAGTTGTCATTAACAAAGTAAACATAATCCAAAAAAATAAAATTGAGAAAAAAGTCCTTAAGGAGTCACAAGGGTTAAATTGGCTCTAAATGTTAAAGGTTCTCTGAGCGATCCTGGGTGTTGACGTTCGGAATATTTTCAAACAAATCGGAGGCTAGCTAGACCCTCCCTCCTCCGCATCTCATCTCCTCCCCCTCCCTTCCGTGCTTCCTGAAATAATTGTGAACGTGCATTTCTAGCTAATTATATCCTTGTGTGGGTTTGGCGAACATCAGCGTCAATTTAGAAGAAAAAAAAACAATTTAACGTTACCCACCTGTCCAGCAAAAACAGAGCAACCTGAACGTCGGACTGGAAGCCCTTCTGCCGCCGGAGTTCAAAAGCTTTGCTACCAGCGCCGGCCCGAGCCTTTTGGGGGCCCTAAGCAGAATTTGATTTGGGGGCCCCTCCCACGACGCGGAGTCACCTGTGTTTGACGATTATTGACATAAATGTCACGCAAAAATGATACATTATAAATGAATACACTGAGGTTATGTATTAATAAAAAAATAGATGCCTACTTAAATAAAAAAGTTTGAAAACAGTCTTAAAACTGTCTCAAAACATATACAATAAATTATTTGCTAAAATTATGACAAAACTGAGAAATTAGAAACGTAAGAGCAATGATACTTTGGCCTATCCTCCTGGGACCCAGGAATAGACTTTTGTCCACTGTAGTGGACATTATATTTTAGTGTATTTCTCTGACACCATGCATGTCACATTTTTTTTCTGGATGTCCTGTAAAGAGCACATTCAGGGCAATACAGAGATACCAAATGTTTGGAGGTTTCACCATGAAAACAACTTCTCCTTGGTCTTTAAAAATGTCTAACATTAATTTAGTGATCAAATGTAGCACTCTTATTGAAATATGGTAATATATTGTAATTATAATTTAAATCTAACTACTTTTCAAATTGTATTTCATCAACCACCATCTCATGAAAATGTTATGGGGTTTCAAATGAAAAAAATGACTTTCCGTTACAGGGCATTGATTTCATTCATGTCCACTGTAGAGAACATCAGGACATAAATCATGTTTATCAGGCATTCTGGGAGACATAACAAGTGAATATGTAAATAAATTATACGTCAATATTCTTATGACATATTAGATATTATTATTAAAATGTTGCTTATTATTACGCCAATGCTTACACTTCTTTCCTCATTAAATGTTGCTCCAAGAACACATTAATGTGCAAATTAGATACAGTGTATAGATACTTTGCATTGAATGGGAATATTAATTTATGCCAATTTTACCCATATATTGCATAAAGTAAATTGGTGTATCAATTAATTCCATTATATCTTTCATAACATAGTTGATAATCATCTTTATACAAATTTTAGTTAAAAAAAATCCTGAAACCCCAAAATGTATTGGTGATTGGAAAAAAAATCCCATTGTTTTTGCCTACACATTGTATGTCATTTAATTTTAACAACTGAGTCCTGGTGTCCACTACAGAGGACAAAGTATTACATATGAATAAAATATAATTTTTCGTAAAGGTTTTTTTTTTTTTTTACCATTTGTTTATTATGCTCTAAACAATGATGATGACATGAAAAAAAAATCTAAATTAAAAAAAAAAAAAACTTTCTGGGTCTCAGCTATTGTTGAAAACTAAAAATATTACTAGCCTATTTCTCAACTGTCTCAATACAGAGTAACTATCCTCAAAATCTTTATTATTGTTATTATTATTATTGTAACAGACTTTGTTATATAGTACATGACATAATCAACACAGTCTGTTACTATAATACCGGTTATGATGTTCTGGCGCTCGTTGTATGTGTGTATGCAATGTATTTTTCCCCTCGGGGCTTGCCGTAGATGGGTCGTGCGCACTTGCTAGGCTACTGGAGTGTCGCGGGTGTTTGGAGATCTGATGTGTGGTATAATAAAGTGGAGAAGAGTTCAAACTGCTATGTTTATTATTTATTCAAACTGCTACCCTTACACCTTGAAGGATAAGTTCTCCTGCGGGCTATTTTCTCCAACTTAAACCGATACCGTGACTAGGCGCAGTTGCGCACGAATTGTCTATGCACGCGCGAGGTGTCTAGAAGATTATGCATATGACTTAAACGCTGGCAGACAGAGCAGCAGTTGTAACTTGTAGGCAGGTATATTGACCATTAAATCAGAATTTTGTTGTCTTGAACTATTCATTCAGTCATATTCATTCATTCATTGATTTATGTCACTTGTTTAAGTCATCTAAAAAAATAAAAATAAAACATAACCTCGATTAGGGGGCCCCCTGGTGGCCAGGGGGCCCCAAGCAGCCGCTTAGTTCGCTTATGCCTCGGGCCGGCCCTGTTTGCTACCGATGTAAATTCGGAACTTCGCACGTTCTTTATCCGACTCCTTCTTCTTTTTAATTTGTTCTTCAGAACGACGTCTCTTTGGTCGTGTGTCGGACATTTTTCAAACTTCCCTCTGATGCTTCTCTCTCCTTCACACACACACCCCCTTCATGTGCACGCGCACTAACCCCCCAGACCCACCCTCAAATACTTCTTGCCAGTGATTGGCTGGAACACTGTTTGTTAGGTTTCGTGGTCCGGGTGAGACATGATTGTTTTTGTTGCCGTTTGTGGAGCCTGTGGTGTCTACAGAGACCGCGTTTTTTTACAGTGTGTTTAGGGGACAGGCAGCTAGCCGATAGTGAGGAGACGTTTGATGTATGTGACAAAAAATGTTTTGGCCCCACATCGCTTAGAGAACCTTTAAATTGATCAATCAGACCCTTTGATTACATTGTTATTATTGAAGTATAATTAGCAAAACTGTATTAATCTAGAAGCAGAATCAGATTTAACTGTGATTTTCTGCTGTAATAAACAGTTTAACTGGTAAGATCCTCAGAGGAGTTGTGCGGTTATTAAATAAGTATGGAAAGACAGTTTCTGTGAAGGATGTCCTGAATGTGAGTAAATGTGTGTTAGTTACAGGATCAGAGAATGACACTGTTTCTCTGTCATAGTCCAGCTGAACTCTCACACGCTGGAGCTTCTGTTTAACAGTGAAGACAGTGAGACGCTGCTCTGGGGATTTTGAGCTGTATTCACTGTCCATGTACCACACACACCAGACATTAGAGTTAAAGAAAACCTTTCCCTTCCTTTGGTTTGATGCTGTGGTTATTCCAAGAGCCCAGCGTGTATTGTCTCCAACCTCCACATCCCAGCAGTGTGTTCCTGAGTTAAAGCCCTCAGATCCCAGGACACATGGATACTCATCAAACCTCTCTGGATTATCAGGAAGTGTTTTAACTACACGACTGAACGACACACTGGTCAGATCAGCAGAGAGTCTGAGACGAGGATGTGCTGTGTTTGGATCCAGAGTCAACGGAGCTGCAAAGAGAATAACATCAGATTACAGGATGAGATATGAT